CTTCTTTGTCCCTCCTGTGCCACCATACTGAGATCTGGCTCAAGACAGCATCTAGCATGGCCCCAGGAACATCCACCCAGTGCTTCATAGGGACAGGAGCACCAAAAGACAAGGCCAAACCTTTCCTCTGACATCCGCCAGGCCAAAAAAAAGATTAGGGTTAAGTTCTTCCAGTCAGACACTGCAGCCTTCTACATCACATCCTCTGTGAGCCAAGAGACCTGCCCCACAGTGTTCTCCTGGGCTACACCAATTCTGCAACCCTGAAGAAATCCAGCTGTTGCTCGAAGGCACAGCCTCACCTTCCCCTGCTTCAGCTGTCCTGCCTTTCCTCCTGTGCTGGCAGCAGCCTCTGCACAGACTCTCTTGTGAGCCAGATCTGAAGACCAATCCCTCATAAAATTACTTCAAGAGGAAGAAAGCAGAACTCTTTTTTAGCTGGCTCAGCTCCCTGGTCTTGGTCTTTATGCAATGGCACAAAGCCGTGCCCAGAAAGGGAGCACCTGATCAGGGAGGGAGTGCCCCCTTCTCCTACCTCTGACCTGGCCATACACAAGACAAAGTGGCCAGGTAACCTTGGCCTCACTGCAATTACAGGGCCTGCTTCCCACATCTGCTGCCTTTTTGGCCTCTGCAGTACAAACAGGCCAATGTCCAATGCTCCTTTTTTTGAAACCTTGAACACCTTCTCCCATATTTTTCTCCACTTGCTCCATGTGTTGGAGGGTCCTCTTCCAACATAAATTTGCATTTTTTTTTTGTCCCAGGGATGCTCCCGGGCTGCCAGCTGAAAGCAAGGGAAGGGAGAGAATGCAGTGTCCAAATACACTCCTCACTCTCAGCAACACTGCTTCAAGTCTCAATGCTGTTCCATGCTGCCACTGCAAGCAGCCAGAGAAACACAGGAAGTGGAGCCAGGCAGTGCTGCCAGGACCCACCAGAGCAAGCAGAGCGGCCAGGGGGGATGCACTCTCAGGAGTTACACGGGTGAGCACTGACAGACCTTGGTCTCAGCCATGGCTCACCAGGGAGCCAAGCTACACAGCTGCCTCGACACCTCCACTGCTGCCCTAGAGAGCACCCAAGCTGAGCAGCAAGGCAGGACTGCTGGCATGCCTCTGAGCACGGAATTATTGCTGGATCTCAGAAGCGCTCTGGGAATTTTTGTAAATGAAGATACACTGATCCTACTTCCTCCAAAGAGGGAAACTGATGTTACACAATTACTATTTATACTGAAGTTTATAACTGACTATATGCTTAACTCCTCTTCCTATTTTGAATGTTAGAACATTCCACTGTCATCCTGCCAGCTAGGACCCAGGGCTCCTTACACCAGCTGTTCCTTACCTGACACAGACAACAGACACCGATTCAGGGAAAGGCAGCGCTGCGCCCTATGCTGCTCAGTTCATAGAGGACAAGTGTCTGATCTCTCCACTGTCAGTGAACAGGAACTTGGGAACAGTTAACTTGGGGCAAACAGAAGAAGGATTTACATAATTTTAAATGAACAGACAAAATACAAATGCAGCCATCTAGAAACACAGGACTGCACTGTCCGGATCCAGAGGTCACTGCAAGCTGCTCTTTTGTCCCACCATAGCCAAGGATCTGGCCAAGGAAGATTGGAAGGAGCCTGTCCAGCTGGAGCTGCCCAGGGCTGACAGTCATAAAGTAACACCTAAGGAGGACTTGTCTTCTCAGTTTAGCATCTTTGGATGAGTTTATTATTGACAGGGGCGGGACAAAACAAGACCGTTTCTTTCTCTTTACAGATCTTGGAAAGCCTTTTCTCTTTGTCCCACCTACCAGCAAGTACTTTCATTTCTGAAGATACTAAGAGTCTTTTTAAATGCATTATTTTATTAGGATTGGTTTACACAAAAGGTTTCAGTAAAAAAAGCTTTTTCTCACCACAGGCTGAAAGTCTTTGCCTGTGTCACCTTCTGGATTTCCCTAACCTCTTCATAAAGCTTGGCAATGAGCACAAATCCTTTCTGCTTCCCTTAAAGCCCTTGATTACACAACCTCACTGCCATTACTTGTAGCCTAACTCTGCAAAGCTCTTAAGGACAGAATTTAGACAAGCAGTGGTCTAAAAACAAGGTCTGAATCCTGCTTCACGCAGCAGAGCCTTCACCCTGAGCCCAAAGTGGACCCACTCCAAGGATGAGTTCCAGCCTTTCCTCTCCACTGCAAAAGCAACAGTTTCCTGCTAATGTGTTTCGTTTTCTTTGTATCATTTCAGATTTTAAATTAAGACTTCTGAAGACTCTTCAGTGGTTTATGAAAAAGAGCCTACTATGTCACAGCCTTCTCTCTGGGAAGGTGGGAAGGAAGTTGCTTGGGCCTCATCCTTTCAAGAAATAAACCTGCTCAGGAGCACTAAGCCAAAACAGTTTTAAAAACAAGAGACACTAAAAAATCAGGGATTTCAAAATCTTAATTATAATGAAGCTTTACTGAAAGCCCAAATCTGGGAGAGCAGGAAATTAATTTAAAAATAACGTACTTGAAATACTGCTCAGAACTCCTCTAAGTATATTTTTATTATACTAAATTCATAAAGAAAGCATAATACTGTTTTAGTCCTAATGCACTAAAAACATTTTTTTCAATCAAGTGACCAGTCTGTCAGGAATAAATTTTATCAAGTTTCAGACAAGAAGTAGGCAGCATCTCTGTACATCTTCAAGTGGGAACCTAAGGACAAAATCAGCTCTAGAGAAGCCCTGGCCAGAGCCACTTGCTCACCGTTAGAGCCTGGTGCTGTCCTTTCATCAAGCCAAGACAGGTCAGATGCACCTGACACCAGGCTATCTTGGGGCCACCTGACCCAAGCCCATCTCCCATGCTGCTGCTGCCACTGTGTGACTGCAGATGGTAATAGGAAATGTGAAAGTGCTGTTTCTGCATTACCATATCCTTTAAATCTTCCTTTAACAGCTCCTTTGATGTTCAGTAATGTAAACCTCTTCCTCTCTAAAACATAAACTTCTATGACATTCACACACACCTTGTAAAGTCTCTGCAATATTTTGAATAACCTGACAATGTACTGACCCTTTGGGGTAAACCCAGACCTTTTTTGCATGTTGATACAGCACTCGGCATAACAAGATCAAACTTAATCATAGTTACCAGTAAGTTTACTTACAGCCACACTGGCTGGTCCAGCCCTGCCCAGTTTCCAACACAACTTTCTCCATCCCCTCTTTTGTTCAGCACTGCATTTTCTTTGGGGTATCTCCTGGGGTTCCCCTCTGGAACCAAAACTTAGAGAAATCATCCACAACATGATTTCATGCTGCTCTTGACTTGCTCTCAGAGCAGCCTAAACTCCCTCTCATCCCAGTATGTCCATCTGCAGAGCCTCTAGAGCCACTATGGGAATATGCTCTGTGCTTGTCACACACCTGCATCCTCCTGCCAAGAGTGATGGGCATCATCCAGACCTCTCCTCTGCCTCTCCCTCACTCCACCGCTCCTCTCTGGAGAGGTGGACATGAGCCAACTGTTTTGCCAATAGATGGGCGATAGAGAGGACACAAGACACCAACAGAGGGAATGGTCTTACTTTACTAACAAACTTAAGGCAACACAGAAACAAGATAATGCATTTCATATGGCAATAAGCTTAGCATGTGCACCATTTTGACAACAAACTAAGCAAGGTAATGCTTCATTACTATACAAGCAAAGAATAGTGATTAAGAAAGATACGTCACCAGTTACCCCGCCAATACATTACCAACATCCAGACCGCTTAATTCGCTGGGGAGCCCCGAGTCACAGCGAAGGGTTGGAGAACCACTCCTGGTAACTGGGAAATCTACACAGTGTGTCCACTTGCAGGTGAGTCTCCATCTTTGCTGTGAGGGGGTCCACAGAGAAGATGCAGTCAGAATCATTTGCATATTTTGTCATGCGAAAACACCTGTGACAGTCTTCTTGACCACCCAAGACCAGGGCTTGGCCAGAGCCCAGGTCTAGGTTGGGCAAGGTTCCTGGGTGAGGTTCCTAAAGGTCCTTAAAATATCTTGCAGACAGTCACAAGACTGTACCACAATTTTTTAAGCATCCAGTTTAACAGACAAGATTTAGCAAAAGATGTCTCAAATATATGGTTTGACATAATAACGCTTAGCATAAGCAGTTGAGCTCATCTATGCATAAGATTCATACTTAGCACAAGCAATCTAACTAATCTATATATAAGGTTTGCGCATTTTCCTATATCAAGTAAGGACAGCACAGGATTCATCTCTAATCCTGTCTCAGGCCCTGGCACTTCAGCGATAAACCCCAGTGTGGATCCTCACCCTGATTTCCTCCTGTGCTATGTTCTCACTTCCCTCGCCTCCCCTGGGCACTGAGCCCAGATCCCATGGCCCCTGGGGGCTGGCTGGGCTTTCCCTCCTCCCTAGCTCTTCCTTCTCACCCAAACACACCACGGAAGGGACCGGAGCTGCCACCACTTGTCCCCGCGAAGGGCAGCACCGATTCAGCAGCAGGAGGCAAACGCTGCAGTGGTTTGAAAAGCAGCAACCAACAGCAAGGCCAGGGTGGGGACGCGCCGTCCCGTGCCCAGCTTCTCCCCCCGGACCTGCGGGACGCTGCGGTGTCGTAGCGCCAACATGGACCCTCGCTAGCTTCACCTCCGAGCCGCACGCCGAGTTCCCGGCGTCGAGCCCGGGGCCGTGACGGCCGGACAGCACGGAGGGCACACCGCTTGCCGGGGGGGGCTGCCGGCGGGACGGGAACCGCGGGCACGGCCTGAGCTCTCCGCGGGGCACGCAGACCCGCCGGCCATCCCGGCACCCCGCCTCGCCCTGCAGAGGGCCCTGCAGCGACCCACTGCACCCCAGGGGGCTCGGGAGGCGACGGCCCGGCCCGGCCCGGCCCGCGAGCTGCGCCCCGGGCTGCGCGCAGGGAGCCGCCATGACCGAGCCGCAGCAGGGCTGGTGCTCGCGCGGTCACGTGAAGGGCTGTGGGTCAGCACGTGACGCTAAGGCCTGGTCACGTGCTCGGTGGCCGCGCGGGAGCGCTCGCGGTGCGGGTGCCGTGAGGATGCTTCGGTCGCTGCTGCTCCCGCTCCTGCTCCTGCTTCTGCTCCTGCTTCTGCTCCCACCCGCCAGCGCCGCTCCTGGTGGGTACCCTCGGCCCCCGGGCCGGAGAGCCCCGGCCCTGCCGTGGTCGGAGCCCTCAACCGACTTTCCCGGGCCCCGGGCAGGACCCCGAACCGACCTCCCTGGGCGGTAGCCCTCAGCCGGCTTCGGGAGCCCCGTGCGGGAGCTCCGAGGTCTCGTGGGCCCGGGTTCCCGGGCTGGGCCGTGCCGTACTGGCTGACGATGCCTGTTGTCGGTTTCCCTTGTGCTGACTGTCCCCCCTCCAGCTGCCCGGGCGGTGTGGCCCGGCCTGGAGGAGCGGCTCTATCCGCAGGTGCGGGACCACTTCAGCTTCGAGACCCGAGGCAACGAGACCTTCCCACAGCGGTACCTGGTGTCGGGTAGGTCCCCGGAGGTGCTGCGGCCTCGGACTGGATTTTATTCTGCTTAAGCTTTAACCACCCCTGCCCGGTGGCAGAGCAAGAGCCAGAGAGCTGTGCTGGGCATCCAGGAGTCAGTGTGAGCTGAGGGGGGCCAGCCCTTCGTTGCAGTGAACCATTCCCCTTCATTGTCTTTATTCTCCTCTCCTTTTCCTTATCCTATACTCTTTACAAAGGCATGTAGTGATAGGATAAAGTGAACTGGCTTTAAACTGAAAGACAGTAGGTTTAGATTATGTATTAGGAAGAAATCCTTCCCGGTGAAGGTGGTTAGGTCCTTGCACGGGTTGCCCAGAGAAGCTGTGGCTGCCCAATCCTTGGGAGTGTTCAAGGCCAGGTTGAATGGGGCTTAGAGCAGCCTGATCTAGCGGAAGGGGGGTGGAACTGAATGGCCTTTAAGGTCCCTTCTAAACTGTACTAGTCTGGGGTTCGCTCCTTGCCTTCTGTCCTGGCCATGGGGTGCAGGGACAGGTTTGGGGACCAGCGTCTCTGAAACAAGAGCAGGCTAGAAGCAGCAGCTGCATTAGGCTTGCACCAGAGCTGGCTTTGGTGTGTGTGTGTGTTCAGTTGACCACAGCATCTCTTACACAGGAACTCGGTGCTCTGAGTGCAGCAAGAAAAGCAAATAGTGACTGAAATGTTGCACTTTGTACCCACCATTCTTAGGAGTGAAGATAACTCCTCTTGGGTCAGTGGTTTGCGTTATTTAAAACCCTGCAGCTGTAGATAGCTTAATCCATGCCAAACAATGAGTAGTGCCAGCAAGGAGCCAGCAGTGTCTTCCTTTCTAGCCAAATAACAAGTTATTTTCTGTACCACTGACAGTAAGAGAGACAAGGCCTTTCTAAACAGCATGTGACTAAAAAGACAGCAGTTTCCATCACCAGTGTGACATGTTTTTCAACTCTGCCTACTCAGAGCAATCCGTGGAGCAATTTGTGGGAAGAGAACAAAAGTGGAGCTGGGAATAGCAGCAGCCCTGAGCACTGCCCAGCCTGGTGCTCACCTGCTTCTGCCTCCCAGCTGCATGTGGGGCTTCAGATGCTGCAGCTCACCTTCACATCAGCTGTTGCTCTGCAGCTTATTCATCACCTGTGCCCACTCATGTACGTCATGAATTCATGGATCAGTTCAGCCCAAAGATATGGACACAGCAGCAACACAACAAGGGAGACTTCACTAATTAAGTGGCCCTTTTTGAACAGAACCTTGGGATCACCTGGTTTAAAGCATTGTGTAACTTGTACTTGTCTTCTTTTTAAAGTGTTACATTTTATCTGTGTGTCCTGGGCAGAGCTGAATAATATTTCTGAGGAGCAAAATATTAACATTACAGTTCTGCTGGTTTACGAAGAGTTTCTTATTCAAAATTCCTGTGAGCAGTTCCATTTCCCTCTACTGTTTTTTGTGCAATATGAGAGTTTTCAGGTTATCAACAAGAAGCTAAAGGAGACTGTTATTTCACAACAGGGCATCTGATACTCTTTAACTGAATTAAACTGAGTTTAACTGGCAGTTCCCCAAGATTTCAATCCAAAAATAGATACCTTTTTAGGGAGCCAGTCTGTTTTGGCTTTGGCTCCTGTGAATGGTTGTTTACTCGGGGAACCATGAAGCATATCAGGAGAAAAGCCAGTTATCTACCGAATACTCAAAGCAAATGCAGCACAGACAGCGAATCAGCCTCCTTGTTAACAAAGAGCAGCAGTTTCACTAATGAGAGGTTTCAAATCCCATTCCAAGCCAAATCTGGCTTTGGCAAGTCTATGTTGAGAATGCCAAGAATTAAATTCAGGCCTCTCTGTTAATGGAAACAGCCCCACGTGACATGCTGCAGCAACATCCGTAGGACAACTGCTGCAGAGGGTCTCTTTGGATGATATGGTAGTGTATTGAAATCAACACTTAACTGATGGTCTGAGGTCTGTCACTGAAGAAAACTATTTATTATCCCTCCTAATTCCTGTGCAATTTATGACTAAACTAAAATCAAATGTTTGTTAAAGTCAGCAAGCATTAAAACAACTGTTTCTTAGATAAGCCATTATTGACATCATGGCTCAACTTGTCCTGCTAGGCTCAATTTGCCTTCCATTTTAAACAGATCTGAGGATGAAGCACTTCATCTTCATATATCATCATATATATATATATATGTATGTATATATATATATATATATATATAAAATGTGTGTGTGTTACATACATAACATATATCAGCATATCGTCGGCAGTGTGTCCTGAGCTCATTCCCACAGAGTGAGGGGGGGAATTCTGCCCCTCTGCTCCAGTGAGACCCCACCAGCAGTGCTGCATCCAGCTCTGGGAACCCTAACACAAGAAGGATGTGGAACTGCTGGAACGAGTCCAGAGGAGGCCACGGAAATGCTCCAAGGGCTGGAGCCCCTCTGCTCTGGAAACAGGCTGGCAGAGCTGGGGGTGTTCACCTGGAGAAGAGAAAGCTCTAGGGAGACCTTATTGTGGCCTTTCAGTACTTAAAGGAGGCTTGTAAAAAAGAGGAAGATGACTTTTTACCAGGGCCAGTAGTGATAGGACAAGAGGCAATGGTTTTAAGCTGACAGAGGGTAAATTTGGATTGGACATAAGAAATGCTTTGCTGTGAGGGCGGTGAGGCCCTGGCACAGGTTGCCCAGAGAAGCTGTGACTGCCCCATCCCCTCAAGGCCAGCTTGGATGGGCCTTGGAGCAACCTGGGCTTAGTGGAAGGTGTCCTTGCCCATGGCAGGGGAGCTTGAACTGGATGGTCTTCCAGTTCAAGTTGGGTCTTCCTCCCAACTCAAACCATCCTGTGATATGTAATTTACAGCTTTATGTGACAGCAGGAGCAGCAGAAAGATGAAGCAATTCCCTAATGTCAATTTTGTGGGAAAATGATCAGTGCAAGTGTTTAGGATAAGTTGGGCTGAAAAGGGAAATTGCTCTTTTGGGGAGCAACTATTTGCAAATGACTTGCAGAACTTGAGATTTTAGTTCTTTTCAGGCAGAAGTGGAAGTTTCAGGCCATGTGCTGATCTTGTGGAAGCTCTTATTTACAGCCACCCAAATGAGAGATTTCTGGAGCCTGGCCTTTTTAACACATTTCTGTCCCAACTCAGGTCTCAGGAATCAGCCTGTTCACAGAGTTCTTCCTTGTTAAGCTCCTGCCCAAACTCACCAAAAATGAAGTCACTTAATGCACATGTTTTTTGTAGTGTTTGGGGGGGACTTTTTGTGCTGTTTGGTGGGATTTTGTTTGTCTGTTTGTTTTTATTATTTTTAATTTTTATTTTTAATTTGCTTCTCTCAATTGTCTCAGCAAAGTTCTGGAAGAAAGGATTTGGGCCCATCTTTTTTTATACTGGCAATGAAGGTGACATCTGGACTTTTGCTCAGAACTCTGACTTTATATTTGAATTAGCAGAGGAACAGCAAGCACTTGTCATTTTTGCTGAACATGTGAGTATTTTAGTCATTATGCTTACTGTAGAGTCTTGTTCTGTTTACTGTTACCAAATTCAGCTTTCTGCAGGTCTGGAATACTCTTGCCATGAAACGGAGTCAGACCTGCTGTAACCTTTTTCCTCGTAGTAGCAGGTCTTCTTTAGTTAATCATGGTTTCTGAATAATTTTCTGCTATGCCTACCAGCACCCCAGGATACAGACTGCTGTTTCAGTAAAACCTATGCCACAGTTATTTGCTTTTGTAAGTAGTTTCTACAAGCCTCAAACTCCATGCTGGAGTAGAGAGTTACTTTGTTTGGATAATGTTTAATCTTTTTAGCCTGCAAAGTCCCAAACCAACTTTTCTCACACTACTCTATTAACACTACTCTATTAAATCTACTATATATCAGCTTAGGCATGAAGAGATTATCCTGTTCCCTATTCTAGTTGGGGATTTCAGGAGAGAGACACATGCTGAGAGCTCATCTGGCACACACTGAAGTAGCTTGTGTAGTAGTAGGACGTACTGTACATCCTCTTCAGTATCTGTCCTGAAGGTCTCTATGTAGGAGACATTCCTCAGTTATGAACAAGTTAGAGGACACCTCATGCTCTGTTATCTCTTCCTATCAGTGCACACTTACCCCAGCTCTATGGTGACAGCAGCGGAGACCCAGACCAGCATTGCCGCAGTGTCTCTCTTTCCTTTCAGAGGTACTATGGAAAGTCTCTTCCGTTCGGACTTGAGTCAACACAGCTGAAGAAGACTGCTCTGCTCACTGTGGAACAAGCCCTTGCTGACTATGCAGTGCTCATTACTGAGCTTAAGCAGCAGTTTGGTGCTGCAAACTGCCCTGTCATTGCTTTTGGAGGCAGGTAAGGTTTGTGGGGGCTCCTGCCCTTCTCTGCATCCTTTCCCAGCCACAGTAGATCTCTTCGGCTCTCAAGGAAGTTCTCAAGGCAGAGTTTTAAGCTATTTGATAGAGAGCAGATGTGCCTGTGCCTCAGCTCCCAGGAGCTCATCACCAGGTCCCACTCAGCTTTCCCATCAAGCATTAGTCTCCAGTTGTGGTTGCTTTGGAGAAGCACCCCTGACTGGATGTTTCTAAGCTGCTTCAATGTACGAGTCATCCAGAACACTGACCCAATTTTCAAGAAGGGCAAGAAGGAGGACCCCAGAAACTGCAGGGCTGTCAGTCTCACTTCACTGCCCAGTAAAATCATGGAAAAAATTATTCTGGGAGGTATTGAAAAACACATGGAGGATGACACAGTCATCGGTCATAGCCAGCATGGCTTCAGGAGGGGAAAGCCTTGCTTGTTAAACCTGATTTTTTTCTGGGAGAGGGTAACCAACCTAGTTGATCAAGGGAAGCCAACAGATGTAATTATTTTGGACCTCTTCAAAGCTTTTCATACAGTCTCTCACAGTATCCTTCTGGACAAAATGTCCAACCCACGGCTGGATAACCATGGTATGTGATGAGTGAGCAACGGGCTCACAGGTCGGCACAAACAGTTGTAGTGATTGGCGTGACATCAGGTTGACATCCAGTCACTAGTGGGGTTCCACAGGGTTCCCTCCTCAACCCGGTGCTCTTCAACACTTCATTAACAACTTGAATGCAGGACTGGAAGGGATACTAAGAAAGTTTGCCAACGACACTAAATTGGGAGGAGCTGTCAAGTCCCTCGAGGGCAGAGAGGCCCTGCAGAGAGACCTCAACAAATTAGAGAGATGGGCGATGACGAACCCTGTGAAGTTTAGCAAGGGCAAGTGCCGAATTCTGCGCCTGGGACGGGGCAACCCTGACTGTGTATAGACTGGGGAACGAGAGGCTAGAGAGCAGCTGCAGAAAGGGACATGGGGGTCCTGGTCGACGGCAAGTTGGATGTGAGTCAGCAATGCCCTGGCAGCCAGGAGGGCCAACCGTGTCCTGGGGGGGCATCAGGCAAAGCATCATCAGCTGGTCAAAGGAGGTTATTGTCCTGCTGTACTGTGCACTGATGTGGCCTCACCTTGAGTCCCGTGTGCAGTTTTGGGCCCCACAATATAAAAAAGGCATTAAGCTGTTTGAGAGAGTCCAAAGGAGAGCCATAAGGTGAAGGGACTGGAGGAGAAACCTTATGAATAAAGGCTGAGGTCACTTGGTTTGTTCAGCTTGGAGAAGAGGAGACGGAGACTCATTGTAGTCTTCAAGTTCCTCATGGGAGGCAGTGGAGGGGCAGGTACCGATCTCCTCACTCTTGTGACCAGTGACAGGACTTGAGGAAACAGCTGGAGCTGAGTCAGGACAAGCTGAGGTTGGATATCAGGAAAAAGTTTTTCCCCCAAAGGGTGGTTCAACACTGAAACAGGCTCCCTAGGGCAATGGTCACAGCACCAAGCCTATCTGAGTTCAAGAAGTGTTTGGACAACGTTCTCAAGCACATGGTAGGATTCTTGGGGTGTTCTGCGCAGGGCCAGGAGTTGGACTCGATCCTGATGGGTTCCTTCCAACTTGGCATATTCTGTGATTCAATGAAAATGAGAAATTCCTCCTGCAGGATCAGAACATTTTACATTGGAAATACAGGAAACTAATAATTGGTGAAATATTCTTCCCGGGGGCCACCCAGGTTTTTATGAAACACAGCCTCTTTAACAGCATCCATCCATTTTCATTGTAGGCCCCTTCATAATTCTGCTTTGCAACCTGCTGCGTGGCTACCCCTTGATTCCTTGCAGCAGTCCTTCCCCAGAGTGCTGCATCTGGGTGGATGTGATGTCCTTGTTTCTTGATGGATCCCCACTCTTGTAGTAGAGGGATGCTTCCCTTGAAAAGGCTTCCAGAAGTACAGGGCCTCGAATTCAGTCACAGTGAGCTAAAAAGCACTTGACCTAACAATTATCATTAAGCCTCCAGCTCACTGTGGTGTGATGATTGAACTGTTGATCTCGGGCGAGTTTGTACTGTGACTATCAGGACAGTGGCTAGTGTAGAAAGGCCTGGGAGCTGTCCTGGGATGGGGAGGTGGGAGAGGGATTCAGCAAAACCTGTGAGCTGGCTGCACGTTAGACTCAGCTTTGTGTGTGTAAATAAGGGCTCAGTCTGCAGCAGCCCTTAACACACTAAACCCACGTGAAGGACACTGAAATATGGCAGTGCTGGAGCAGCACAGCATTTCCCATGGGAGAGAAAACCCAAACCTCTTCTGGTGCTTATAACTTTGCCAGACTAACCTGAAACTACTTGTGGCAGGTTTCGGCTAATACCTGTTTCCAAGACCAAGGCTAGAGAAATGCAAGCTGTTTTACATATGGGTGCTGTGGGAATGGTATGTACTGCAACCACTTGAAGTGGTGGGGAGGGAGCCTGAGTACCTCTAAGCCTGGAATTAGACCAGGTTTAACCTGTGTTTTGGGAATGTCATTTGTCACCCCCAGGAGTGGCCTCAGAATAACTCCGCTACCATCAGCAAATGAGTAAGTTCTGTCACCTTGGGTCTATGTAGCAGCCCTTGATCCATGTGTAGATTGTGGCCCTGGCACTGAAGCTACTAAGATGGCTTTGAGTTTTCTTGTGGCATTTGTTCATGTCTCCCCTTCCCTATATCTGATCAACTATGCAGCAGCTATTTGGTGTGCCCAGGAAGAATACTCTCCACTTGCCAGGACATGAGAGGGCTGCCTCTTCTGCCATGTTCAGGGACACCCTTTACCAAGAGCCTGGATGGTCCTTATTATTGTGTATGCAAAATGTACAGTGTGTCTTCTTCCCCCACTGAACAGTGACAGCTTTACTTGAGCCATACTTGGCTCTACTGTGAAGTTGTCGGGACATGCTCAGGGAGGTGCAGAGTTAAATACTGAGGCAGGATTTACATTTGTCTGCAGAAGTAAACTGAGCTGCTGTGTTCCCACCAGAGCTGGTGTGAGCATCTGGAGAAAGGCCAGTAAGAAAACACTGTGTGCTGCTCTCTGACCATAACTGGATCTTTTCATGTGAGGATGAGGCATCACAGATATCCACGAGCATCATGCATATCATGAGCATGCAAGAACACATGAGGCATCTACAGATATTCATGAGCTTCTTGTACCTTGGGCTGGGTGAGCCTGTGAATGCTGGCCTGAACTTCTGAGGTGTTACAGCATAAGTTGTCTGTTAAAGGAAATAACTTGTCCTTTCTTGGCAGCTATGGAGGAATGCTGAGTGCTTACCTGAGGATGAAATACCCAAACATTGTGGCTGGAGCACTAGCTGCCAGTGCTCCTCTGCTGTCTGTAGCTGGGCTTGGAGACCCCACCCAGTTCTTTAGAGATGTCACCATGGTAAGTAGCATCTCTTTTCAGGAGCATTATATTCTTGCCTTAGGAATGCTGCCTCTTTTTCCTTTGCCATGTGTTTAAACAGACATCTGTCTTCACAGCATCAGTGCTGAGCAGAGAGTGCAATTAAATGGGAACCCACAAGGAAAAGCATCAGCTGCAGGTGTGATGGCAGAGCACTGCCTTAGCTGGAGCAGCTCAGGGTCCAAAGGTGCCACTTTGAGCAGCACAACTCAGTGCTAGTACCTTTAGTAGCACTAAGAATTCACTTTCCCATTTAGTGGCTTGACCATATTACAGCCTGAAATTTTTCCTTTGTGCATGGCTGAACCCCTTTTGGGTAACTTATTCTCAAACTCTCTCCCAAAATGCTGTGTTTTGCATTGGTACCAATGATTCACAGCAGCTCCCTAGTCCCAAGGAGGTTGCATTTCAATGAAGAGCTTGGAAATCTTCATGTCACTACCTAAAAATGTGCAAGGTGTCCTAGGTTCTCTTAAACTAAAATTTAAGCATGGCTTTTGCAGTTTGAGGCCATAGGACCCATAGGAAGATGGTGTTGCTTAGAACTGACTTACATTCAGTTTATAAGGAAAGAAATGTACTACCTGGTTGTACTGAAATCTTGTCTGATGGTGTCTCTTCTGCCCGTCTTTTGACATGAATTTCTAGATCTGGGTGACACAGATGGCTTTGCATGAACTACCTGTGTTGTTCCTCAGTCGGGGTTTGGGTCTGTACCTGGTGCAGGAGCCACCGAGCACACAGAGCTGAGATCCACCTGCTCACGTTTAGTGCCCTTCCGCCCAGAAAGGGGTGCTGGGCGATAGTTCACTGAACTGGCACCTCTCTTTGGGGAGTTTGCAGGCTTTTATACGAGTTACAACAAAGAAGTTGCACAAAACTTGTTAATCGGTCAACTTAACCAGTGCTTTTCTGGTTCACTATACCAAGGTGGTCAGACGATAGCATGTGAGGTCCCTCAGGGGTCATTTTTACCTCAATAATTAGTCTTAGATTGGCTTTGGGCCACCTTAATCCTCTTCTTCCCCATCCCCCTTGTCCAGACGTGATTCATCTTTGTTGACATTAACATATCCTTGCCGTTCTTGTGTTACTTTGCTGTGATTCTCCACTTTGAGGGCTGAGGACCACACCTGTGTGTGCAACTCGTGGTCTTTTTGCTTTTATTTATATACTTGAACACCTCGTTTCACTGCAGAGGATAGATGGCTTTACTACTAAGTATAGAGAAAAGACTATAATGAAAATAAACACATTTGAAACTCTTACGTGTATAAAAGAATAATAGACATCTTGTCTTAAAGTTATACATTTCAAAACAAATGTAATGCCACTTAGTTATCTAAAAGGCCTTGCAGTAGGAATTCTTCCCTGGTTGAAGCTAACTTCCTCTCAGCAGCCCTGTTCAGCCAGGAGCTCTGTCTTGCTTCAGCTGTGAAAATGCTGTGAGTCATTAAACAGCACTGAAATTAGGGCTTTGACCTTTTCACTTGAAAAAACTTTCCAATTAATTTAAAATTTTCTCTCCAGCTGTAAATGAGGAGCTCAGCTCTGGGCTGAGCTCCTAAGCAAGCACTATGTGGTGTTTTCAAGGTACTATCACCTTCAATGCTCTTATTTGCAATCTGTGCATCTGAAATCTGAATTGAATTGTTCTTCTTGGTGAAAACACCCCTGAGAGCTGTTAATGGTAATGAAGGCACAAACCTTTCCTGAGTCACTGTGGAAAGCGCTCTCTTCCCTCTGTCCCTCCAACTGAGTCAGAGTGCATAGTCTCAAAGCAGCTTTCTCTGTGACCCTTACTGAGCTTTTTCAGGTCACTTCATAAGCCTCTAGCTCACAGGGAAAGTGAGCAAAGGGCAGAAAGTTGATTTTGCATTCATAGTACTACGTTATATATGCCAACTGCCTGCAGCTGGCGGAACCCCTGGTGTGAGGGCTGCACATACAGCCCCTGCCTGCTTCCCTTGAGGTTACTGCTGCAGCAGCTGCGCAGGCCATCAGCTCACATCACACATCTGAATTGGGTGTGAGTCAAGAGTAAAACTGGCAGCCTGAACAGGAACAGCTTTCCTTGGAATGGCTGCAATGCCTCCTGCCTCTGCTCAGCTCAACTGAACTATTTCTGGCCCATAAGGGCCTGGGGGCGAGCTGAAATGGGTGCTGAGTCCTTCATGCCGGGCAGTGCATGGCAGCAGTCCAGCAGTGCCTAGAGGAGCTCAGCCATCACAGCAGCCAGAGCAGACCTGCTCCTCTGTCCTAGGCCAAGCCATCCCCACACTCTGATTGGAGCCATTAGTGTAGACAAAGATCAATAAGCACATCCAGAAGGAGATTTGGAACTCCTAAAGGGATGCCCAGGTAACTGTGGAAAACCCCATAATGATTTCTTTAAACATAGTTATCAGACAAAGGCAGAGTTAGGAAGAACAGAAAGGTCCCAAATCTATTTTTTATTTGAGGCTGGGTCTTTATAAGAAAAATGCCTAGCTAGTGACTTGTCATTACTTAACCATTGCTCTAGCAGGGTAAAGGGACCTTGGAAGAGCCCTAATAATTCTTATTATGAAGCACTGGTTGCCAGCAGATCTGAATCTGCCTTACAAATAGAAGAGAGAATAGAAACAGCTGGAGTCACTAGAGCCTTCAATAACAGAAACTACTTGTTCAACATTAGCCAGCCACAACTCTTCAAGCATAACTTAGAGAGCTTTTTCAGGATCAGTAATGGTTTTCCCAAGAAAAAGGACATGGTCATCTGGCAGGTCACTGGCAGGTTTAAGAAAAGCAGGTTTTGGTTCTGTACCCTGGATGCATAACTGACTTCTCCATGGCTCCTTCTCATAGACAAAGTGCAGTGGGAAAGACTCTGTTGTGTGTTTAAAAACAACAACAAAAACCTTCTAGACCTCGCAGCCTGGCCCACTCTCCCCATGTCCTGGCCAAGGCATGTCTCCTCTTGCTGCTTCATGTTCAGTCTGATGCTCCATCAAGTGCAGAGTGTTCTGTCTGACAGCCCAGCCAGACCTGGTGGCACAGCTGCTGCTTGGCCTGAGGTGTGCAGAGTATTGGCTTCTACTGGGATGTGATGACTGTCTGGAGGACAAGGCACTGGTGTCACTGTTCTTGAAGATGCAGATGACGTGCTGACCAGGGGGCCAGTTCCCCTCTCATCTCCTGATCCTTCTGGCAGTTCTTCCTCTTGCAGCTTCTACAAGTATCTCCTCTGTGAAACTGTCAACTGTGACATCTTGGGCACAGACCCCATGTGGTATAATGGAATCGTTTATTACAGTTCTTTCATGGTTTATATACCCCGTTACATCAGCAGTAAATTCCTGTTAGTAACTTTCCTCTATATCTACTTTTTAGTTAAGCATTCACTGAGCATGAGAAAAATACCCCTAAGCAATTTCTGACACACAAAGATACATCTCACCACGTCCACTTTTATCTTGCCAAGTTCCCTTAAGTTTCTCCCAGGGTCATATAATCTCGGTTCCCTACAGTCAACCTGTGTCTTTTCTGTCCCTTCAGGATTTTCAGAAGTCCAGCCTAGGCTGCGTCACAGCTGTCCGCAAGGCCTTCCAGCAGATCAAGGACCTGTGCCTGAGTGGAGGTAAGGAGAGAGCCCTGCAGACAGCTCTTAAGTGCAGGCAGCAGTCCTAGGCAGTCCCAGCCACGGGGAAAAAAGCTGATACAGCTTTACCTCAGCTAGCTCTTCAGTTTGTTCAGCTAAATTGAAGCAAATGCCCACATGGCTGCCTCTTTCTGCTTGCATGATTGATTTATTTTTTTAATTAATTAACAATTTCAGTTAGCATTAAAATTAGCAAACCGACACCAAAACATTAAGCAACTCTGTGGGGATTTGCACGGTGTTAATGAAACAGTTTTTTCTGCACCAAAGTGCAAAAACTCTTGAGGGGAAAAACCACCAGTATTTTATGCTAGTAAAGCCACATGTTTTGCCAGATGCTTGTCCTCAACACCCACACTGTTAAGAGCTGTTCAGGTGGGTATGACAGCTTTGTGGTCAACTCACTGGATAGATGTGAGAAATATATGGAGAGCAGTCTAGGTCCTGAAGCAATCATCCAAGTCCCTTCCATCTCCAGCCTCAGACAGTTAGGACAGAGAATGGTGAAGACCTCTGCAATGGCTCCTAAGTAGGCTGGACTAGATGTCGTGAGCTCATGCAGCATCTCCTGGGAGCCCTGCGTGGTATTGGGATAGCTGTGGTGACTTCTGGGTCTGTCCTGAGGCTTGGTCTGTGGTGCTGCATGCCAGGAGCCGTGTACCTCCTGGCTGCTGCTGGTCCTGGAACTGCCAGAGGAGCCTAGGGTCCAAAACACTGTTTAGCTTTAGGTCACAGCAGTAAGAACATTCGTGTTAACTAGCCAAGCTCTTCCAGGTCTGCCTGGGGCTATGCTTACTGCAGCAGGGGGATGAGGTGGTCATATTTAAGGCTTAGACTCTCAAGTCAGTATTCAGAGGAGGTCCCAGACCTTGGGTCTCCAAGCAAAGACAGCCGGGCTTTGGTGGTCAGCTGTAGAGCAGGATGGGGACAAGGAACTGCGACTCCAAAATGTGGAGGCTGAAAATGAAAATGAAGGGAGCAGCTTTCCCCAGCAGAAGTGCAAAGGTGTATCTGAGTACATGAGTGCATCTTGAAGGAACGTCTTCAAAGATGAATTTCCTGACTCCAGGTGACCTGTGCAGCCCACTGAGGTTTGAAGGCATGTCTCAGGAGCCCTGTGTGAGGGCTATTCTTGCTTGGCAGTTCATAGTGCAGAATGCACACTGCTCCCTAGGAGCATGGTTTTGGTGACTTTTTTTTGTTTGTTTTGTTTTGGTTGGGTTTTTTTTTCATTGTAGTTTGTGGTTTTGTTGTTGTTGTTTGGTTTTTTTAAGTTGATTTTTTCCCCCCTGCCAGGGAAAGGGGGCCTGTGGGTGTGAGCAGGAGCAGCCATCAGGGTACCAGCGAGGACAGGCTGTACCAAGCTGTTCTGCTCGCTGTGCCAACCAGGACCACTTCTGTCCCAGCAGGTGCTGATTCCTGTGGGCTCCCCAGGGAGGTGTCAGTGGCTCCAGAAGGGGCAGAGTGTGGGCCATGGACCGCACGAGATTGTGACACTGCACAGGGAGGCTGTGCCTAAACATCCACCTGTGTAAATTTAGATGTAATGTGTTCTTTCCAGTAGAAAGATGTTACAGCATCTCCATACTCCTCAGTGAAGTAAGATGTTGAAGCTTGGTATTGCTTTCCCTCTGTTAAAGTTTGTGCCTTTGGTTTTCCTTGCTTCTGCAGCCTATGATGAGATCAGCAGCAAAATGGCCACATGCAGTAAGATCTCTAACAAAGAGGATGTTTACCAGCTGTTTGGGTTTGCTAGAAATGCCTTCACCATGATGGCCATGATGAACTACCCTTACAAGACTGACTTCATGGGTCACCTCCCTGCCAGTCCAGTGAAGGTGAGGACATTGGTGCAAGGGGGTGACTGGAGCTTAGGACACTGTCAGGCACACCCCATCGGTGATGGCGACGGGAAGGTAGTGGTGGATGTTTCAGCCCTTCAGCTCTGGCAGTTAATCTACACATTTTAAACTTCTCTGTGACAGTGACTGCTGCATTTGAAATGCTCATGAAGGCAGGTTTGCTGGAATTGCTCCTACCCTGCTCTGCCTTTACCTTAGACATGAAAGCCCATGTAAGCTTGTTAACTTCAGCTTTTAAACACCAAAAACCTGCAGCTTAGAAAAAAAAAGTAGTTTTGTTGTAGCCCATCTCAACATGCTTTCATAGATGCATTTTTCTTGGTAGGTAGGGATGGAGATCTACAAATCAGCTCCTTTTTAAGTGTCACCTAGGAAGGTGACGTAGGTATAATGCAGAGAAAAATCTGCTGCTCTGGGGACTGCAAAACCTGTGAACTTTCAAGAGAATCAGAGATGGCAAAGTGTGGGAAAAGGGCCAGGTTCTCAGGGGGTTACAAAGACCTCTCATACACCAACTGCTTTTGCAAGGTTCCAGCTTTGATCTCAGATCACCACTTGCGGTTGCAATTCTTGGTGTCTTCAGGTGCGTTGACAGCCTGCTGTTCCCTGCTGGCTTCCAGCATACCATGCCCATGGGACTTCATTTGCTTCTGTGGCTCCTACCTGGAGCAACACGCATGCTGTGCAAGAGATCACACTGGCTCTGCTGCACTGGGACTTGGGAGATGCTGCCTCTGGCTCCAGTTCCCTTCTATGGTCTGTTTAATGACCTCTAAAGTGGAAATAATTATTCTACACATTCCCTTCACCCCTTGAAAAGGGCATTAAAATATTCTGATTGTAGGAGGAACTGCTGTGTGTCACTGTGGCCCCTCCACAGCTGCTTAACTTTGTAAAGGAACTGTTTGGCCTTGCCCAGTCTACTTGTTTCTATGTATTTTGTTGTTAAAAAGGAGGAAGATAAAAACCTCCAAACCTGTTGCATTAGGCCCTTGGAAAGCTGCTGAACCACAGAAGGTATAAATGGTAATTTTAATGAATCTTCCAGCTTAGCCCTTCCTTAGAGCAGAGACTGGTAACTGTTCTGTCTGTCATTTGCCTGTAATGTGTCTCACCCAGGTCGGCTGTGAACAAATTCTTGCCCACAGAGACCCAATTCAAGGCTTGGCTGCTCTTGTTGGTGAGTTAATATTATCAGTTTGCTCTTTTATGCAACACTGTGTTTTCTAGAAGCACCTGTCAGTAGAGTTGTTGCGTTGCTATGTGTCAGGGGAGCTGGTATGGCTCTGATCTCCCACTGTGATGTTTTGCCCCTTGATGATTCCCACGGTGGCCCACAGGTTCATTCTCTACCTTTCCAAACTTATCCTTGTCAGATTTTCAGGCACTGCAGTCCCATAGCCTGTCCATGAGATGTGGACTTCTGAGATAATTGGTTCTTTTCTAAAAGTTTACCCCTACTCTGGGGGTTACAGGCTCAGTGCACTTTCTGAGGTCAGCTTGTTAAGGACAAAGTTGTCATCACAGTGTCCTGTGGTCTTAATCCAGTGGCAAGAAAACATATCGTGTATATTTATCTCTGTGAGTACTTATTTTATCAGCCAGTAGTGTTTGTAAGGAAATTATTAATAGAGATAAAATTCAAAGAACTTTCGAAGACTTCCTCATAAAATCTCTCAAGTTGGCTGTTGAAAATGAGTTCTACCTTGGTCATTGTTCAGAAAAATGGGTTCTGAACAGCAACAAAAAATTGATTTAAGGAATTCTTACAGGTTTAATGTACTTTAGTAGCATTGGAAGCTAAATGTACCAATCCCAAATCACTGCTAAAGATGTTTGACTGATACCTAGAAGAGTTGTTAAAACACTAATGTCTTAGCAAAGATCTACTGGACATATTCACATGCTACTCCTCCTGTGAGGCAGAGTGGGACTCTTGTTTCTTTGAGATGAACAAGCTGAGGGTGGATTTCTTCCTCCTGGCTGTGGGGGAGCATTTCATACCTCTCACCATCTCCCCAGCTTCATTCACTCGGGGAAGTTTAGTCATGCCAGAGGCATGATTGACCAGAGCTTTAGGTAGGGGACTGGCTTTCTTCCATACCTGCCCCTCTACATTGTACAGGAAAACACTGTCCTTTTTCTGCATGTGCTGCAGCAACTCACCTCCTGCCAGGTAGAGCGTAGTGCCATGGGCTGTGATACTGAACTGGCAGCAGGTGAATGGGGACAGCATTAGCACTGTCCAGTGATTGCTTACAGGACAATAGTACTCCATCTCCTTGACGTGAATCCATTCCTCCACCTGCAGAGAACCAGACCAACACTCACCCATCATATCACGCCTCAAGTGGCATCACTGTCACATCAGGCTTGCTTGGTTCATGATGAAGGAAACTAGTGTCTCAACATCTGTTTGAACACTGTGGGGCTCAGGATGCCAGATTTTTGATTCATGTTTAGCAATCAGAGCCTCAAAAGAAACTAAATAAAATGCCAGAATGGCACACCTTGGAAGGAGCTTTCTTCTTGGGAAATAAGAGGATTGAGCTGAGCAAGGTACCACAGGGACCTACTAAACCTGGCATAGTCCAAGCCCTACCTACTATCTGAGTTTTTAACCCATTACAAAAGAATTCATCTAAACAGGGCAATAGGGCATTGAATTGGGGGCAACAACCAAGTTTGTGTCATCTGGAGGAATTTGTCAGCCTTGTTGTGCAGTTTCTTGTTATAGACTCATTCCTTCCAAGAAAACCATACCCATCATGGCAAAATGGAGCCAGGCCCTGCCCCTGAGCTTTTACCCTCAGATATGGGAATTGCCAAGTGATCTCTGAAAACTCAGTTTCTTGGCTTTGGGGAATCAGGTTCTTCTAGAGTAACCCTTCCAGTCCCTGTTAGCCCTCTTCCCAGAGGGCTGGACATTGCTTTCCCTCCTTTCAGAGATGGGAAATCCAGGTTTGAAGAGACTTCCTTTGCATTCCAGGACTTGAGCTCATCTTTCCTAAAATTAGGCTAATGCCATCATTCCTCTTTGCATTTGCCAGTGTTTCTCCCCGCTCTCAGCTCATACAAGGACAATCAGGGGGTTAGTGTATTTGGGGCAGAAATTTGACCTGTTTTACACTTGGATTTTGCTGTGTTAGTGGCTGTGCCTCCACTGTATGTGTTCTCTATTTAAAAGAAATGCACTCTGGCAAATAGAGAGTGACACCAGGATAGGCTCTGCTGCATGTGACTGTAATGGCAGAAATGTTTCCATAAGCTTATTGTCCTGACTTGCAACTGAGCCGGTCCACTAAGGACCAAAAATAACAGAGTTACTGGTCAACCTGTTGGAACAAAACAGGGCCTAGCAATATGGAGAGCCTATTTTGGATCATATTGGGGATTATAAGAGCAAATTAACTTACTCCTCTTAGTGTCTTTCCTCCAATGCAAAAGATCTTGTCCCTGAGTCTGACCATGCCGTGATTGCAGCAGATGAAAGTCAAGGTGCTGTTGCTGATCCAGCAGCGGAGGCGAGGCGGGTGGCTGTAAGTGTCTCTTAAGGTTTTGCCCCCAGAGAACTCTCCTAGAAGGAAAGCATGTCTTGAAAATCTATCCATCATCCTCCCCAGCAAATCTTCAGCAAACATTAGCAGAGCTGATGTTTTTTTCTTTGAAATACCTAAGGAGCTCAGGTTTAAAATTTCACATCATTTAGTGTGAAATATAAAACCAGAGCTTCTTAGGTATTCTAAAGAGAAAAAAACCTAATACAAACCAGTTCCAACTCTTTTGTAAATAGTTTTCCACAAAATATTTTTGAATAAAACTTGTGGGGTATTTCAAGGGTAGCCAGGAACAGCTTTAATTAGGGAATTTGTTTCCAGCATGAGCAATCCAAATGGGGTTTTTTTCTTCTTTTGAAAGAAAAGTATTCAGAGCATTTTGAACTTTGGATGTCCGAGAGAAGGTCGGAACCAGTCCCCCAGTGCTGCTGGCACTCCAACAGGCACTGACTGACTTGTATAGTTCAGGGGTGCATTATAGAAAGCTCCTTGCAGAAGGAGGATGCTGATATGGGAAGGGTCAATGCCTCCAGCTGCCTGTCTATGGAATTCAAGCTGACAGCCTGTTGAATTCCAGCCTGCTGAATCTTTGCTAACAGGAAGATGCTATTCCAGGTTGGCCATAAGCCCCAGCTCACCTGGGCAGAGACACTTTTGTCTGCATGGAGCTTGTCTTTAAATCCTGCTGTAATGCTCTTAATTGCCCCATGCTTGGACAGGGCTGTGACCAATTCAAATTTGCCCACTAGTTAGTCCACAAGTTCCAAAGGAAAGGAATGCTGGTGGGTAGGTAAGATCTCACAGCCCAGGGGTATAGTGTTACCCAGCCTAGATCATATGGGATGTTTGAGGCTCTGTGAGGAAGTTTTGTCTTTGCTCTCTGGTACAAATTGCGACCATCAGAAGTGAAATGAGCTGCCTGTGGCACTATGGGCCAGCTGGGTCAAAGCAGGGACTTGAACCTGAGTCCCAGCCATTCCCCCAGCTCTTCCATTATCCTTCTGCACTGCTGGGGTACAAGTTTGCATGTGATGTCCCTGCCCCTGGGGCTGCAGCATACAGGCCATCAGAGAGATGTGCCCTTTGTTGAAACTGTGCATTTGAAGTTAATTTGACTAAAATCACTACAGGGATTCTCAGCTGGCCATAAGTGGTTTAGCAAGCAGGGAGCTACAGCAATTGCAGGCTGGCCCAGGACTTTTAACTGCAGAGGCGCAACACAGTGCTCTTCCTAGGAGTAACCAGAGGCTATTTTTCAAGTCCAAATTAGAAGCCACAAAAGCTAAAGATTCTACAGTAATTTTCTGAAGTGTTTACCCCAAGCTGTTGTACTTGACCATCTCCCAAAAAGCCCTGTAAGAACTGAGGATCCTGTGTAGGGCAAGAGCTGTACAGGCTCTGTAAGAGGTTAAGAGCCTGCATTTTGCCTCTTTTAGTACAAGTGAACAAAGCAGCACAGTAGGGTTGGTCCCAAATCTTCCATTCAGATTCATAGCAGGGTTTAGTCCCATCCCCAACACTGACAGTCTGCTCCTGGTTTACCTTCTCAGACAGCAAAGCTTTGTGATTCAGGATTTCAAGACAGATGGGGTCACTTTTAATGTCTTGGAAAGAAAAGAATTCCTGCCGCAGGAGGGCAGTGAGGCTGTGCTGACACAGCAGGAAAGGGACACTGGAGCTGTATTACTGGTGTGGGCGCAGGCTTAGACTCTGACATTAAGATGGTAGCAAAAATCAATGCAACTGTATGAAAATATGCTGCTATCACTGCGATATAGAGGATTCCCTTGTCAGTTGTGCCAGCGTGATCAGCAATAGGCGTGGGGAGAGGAGCTGTGCACTCCCACTTGTTATCAGAGGGCTGGTACCATTCCACAGTATGGGAGAGAGTCCCCAGCAGTGTCACTCCACCCACAGCGAAGATGCAGTCAGACAGCACATCCATGTGGAAGCATGTCCGTCGCTCCAGCGTGCTGGCAACCTGGAGCCAGGACATGTTGCAGGGATCAAATCAGAAAACCTAGGATCACAGCAGATGATGGTTAGCAGAAGGCAGGTGGCTGGCTTACGTCTTGTGTGGCTTCAAGAACTGCTAAATTTTCCCTGGACTGAGGAGGGTTTTGTATTCAGACCTGGACAGGCTCCAGGCACATCCAGTGCCAGCCAGCTGGTGGAGCAGCTCCTTCTCAGTGAAGCTGAAGGCTCAGTTATGGCCTTCCTGCAGGTCTGCAGGGGTCTGGGAGCAGGTTGTGGTCTCAGCTTGCAGCAAGCAGGAGGTGAAACACATAGGCTTACTGAAATACCTGTTTGCTGTTCTCAACTTCACCTATTCCAACAAGCTCAACCTCTCACTACAGAATATTGAGGAGACCTTCAAAGCTGCAGAAACCCTTCTGGTGTGGGAGGTGATCAGGCTATGCTTTTGCTTTCTGGAGGGGTGCTTGAACTGCGAGAACTGCCTGGATGTTCTAAATATCCCCAAGAAACTTGGACCAGATGAGCTGGGACAGAAAGCCATGTGCTACGTGGGGCAGCATTACAGATACTGGCTGATCCTCAGTGCTAGAGAACAGCAAACAGCAGCTGGCATGTGACAGCTAAGAACCGTTTGAGTGAGATTTCAACAAGCACCTTTTTGCATCTCTGTTGTTGTATGAGTGTGTAGTAAAGAGCAGGTGAGCTCTGCCTGCTGCTCTCACCCAGGAGAAGGCAGGAGTGCTTCCTATCCCCTCATCCCTGCTGGCATTACCCCAGGGCACAGACCTCTGCTAAGGCTTGTTCAGCAGTAAATACCTCCCCGAGCTTGTTCTGGTTAGGAAGCCCTGGTTGCTGAGCCAGGGCAGTATCTGCAGAGCCACAGTGAACGCTGGCCTGGGCTGTACCTGGCAGTCAGTGCCGCAGCCCGTGTCCTCCAGCATCCTCCATTCCACTACTGCTGAGCTGCCTCTGGCCTCGGGGCCCTGGAAGGGAGCTGCTGTGGCAGCGGAACTCTTGGAACTCAGTACAATGCTGAAATAAGCCCCCTGGAGCATGAGGAAGAAAAACATGCTGGTTTTTCTAGCAAGCTTCCTGAAGCCATCTAGGAAAACAAAATCCTGCACAAGTCTTTTGACTCTCCAGACAGAAGGGGAAGGTCCTGGGAGCTAAAGCATATTTGCCTTTCAAGGGCAAAACCAAGGGAGGAGGAGTTCTCCAGTGAAGTGGGAGGCTGTACCTGTGCCTCCCCAGCACCAATCCCATGGCAGCACCAGTGGGGACAAGGGCAGCATTCTTGGGGCTGCTCGACTGACTGATGTGGACCTGGCCAAACCTGCACTGTGAAGTTGGGTACAGGTTAGGATGACAGTTTACAGCAGGAGCAAGGTGAGACCAGGGCAGGGCCTTACTGCTTCCCAGACAGTTTGGAATCTGTATTCTCAAGGGCTTTCAGTACTGCACAGTGCACAGGGAAATATGTAGAGGTGGGAGATCTATGGTGGGCAAGAGGAATGACACCCTCCCCTCCTCACCCAGCCATTTTTCCAAGGGGCTAAAGGTTTCTTGTGTCTCACCTCATTTGATGGCTGCTTTCCCGTGGGATCAAATTTGCACTGTCCCCTGATGACAAAGAGGAAGTCGTTGATGATGGCAACACAGTGGTTTTACACTGGCACACAGAGGTCCCCAACATTGTGCCAGGTGCTGCAGCCCACATCTCCTTGCACACACGGTTGTTGGCGGCTCTGCCACCAGTGACCAGCAGCACAGTGGAGCTGGAGCGGAGACTCGTACTCTGCATCTGCAGGATGGGCTGAGCATATAGCTGTGAGTGGTAATCCAGAGCCTCTTGCAGGTACCTGTGACAGCTACCTGAGTCCAGCCTCATAAGAGGCATTCCCTCGACATATCTCTGCAGGTCCCATAAAGGAATGAGAGGGAATCTTATGCACTTGAAAATTTCTGCTACATCTTTCAGCTGTGCATGGTCCTGCTGCAGCCAGCTCACTGCAGCTCTGAACAGTTCCAGCTCAGTGCATCCCTTGGTGTTGGTCCTGTCCAAAATTTCACAAAGGGTTCCTTGGTCCAGGTCTTTCCAGCACTGAGGATCAGCCAGTATCTGTAATGCTGCCCCACGTAGCACATGGCTTTCTGTCCCAGCTCATCTGGTCCAAGTTTCTTGGGGATATTTAGAACATCCAGGCAGTTCTCGCAGTTCAAGCACCCCTCCAGAAAGCAAAAGCATAGCTTGATCACCTCCCACACCAGAAGGGTTTCTGCAGCTTTGAAGGTCTCCTCAATATTCTGTAGTGAGAGGTTGAGCTTGTTGGAATAGGTGAAGTTGAGAACATTCCTCAGCCCAGCAGCACTGACGGCCTTCAGCTGGATGTTGCCGTCTGAGCTCCCTGCTCCCATGGCCTTTCCAACAAACGGGATCTTGCAGTAATTGCTTGCTGAAGCCAAAATTATCTTGTGGGTTGGAAAGCAAACCCCTTCTGCCTCCAGAGGCACGTCACACAGCACGCTCTGTGAGCGAAGGCTGCTGAGCCCTTCCGGGAGTTTTGGCACGTAGGTGTCAGACATGAGCCTTGCCATGCTGGCCTGTGAGCCAAGCAGCACCACTCTGGGTGGCACATAGCCCTGGAGCAGCCCCTCAGTGCGTCTCCTAGGCAGCCTTCTGCGCTTCAATCAGTGGTTCCATGCTGCGAGGGGGCTGAGGCTGTGCTGCCCACCCTGCAGATCCACCTAGAAAGCAGCAGCTGCAGCAGTTTCCTTCTCAGCAGCCCATGCCTGGGGCCTTGCAGCACAAACCATTGGATGTCGTGCAGAGCTGCCTGGGGCTGTTTGCAAGTGGAGCTGGTGGTGCTGATTAGCGCACAAATCCACAGTGTTTGTGGGGTTTGCTGTTACACTGGCAGCAGCAGATGGCCACCAGCTTAGCTGCAGTCCTCCTCCTCCTATCTGGTAACTGCCCATCCACACAGAAAGCAGTTCATTCCTGGGCAGCTCCTGGCTATGCTTCCCTGGCCGCCTGCTCAGCTATTCTTTCATCTGGGCAAGCCTGCACATGCCATGCTTCCCTTTGTGAACAACAGTCAAGCAAAATCCCCTCTGCGATGTGCCACCCTTGGCCCTCTGACTAAATTTGATCAATTCAGGCACAGCTCCTTTCAGGGCAAGGTTGGGAAGGTCTCAGTGGTTGTGTCCTGTTCAATTTGAAGCATTCAACCAGCATCCTGTGCACAGCCTGCTCCTGGGGGTTTGGGCTGTTCCAAGGACTAGTGAGCGACTCACTGGCTTTTGGCAAAAGGAGAGACAGACGAGAGCACCTGGGAGTCCCTTCCTCTCTGTGAATATGACAGAAACAAAGTGCGTCCTGCAGCCAGACCTTGGCTTGGTCTTGGCCGTGAGGTTGGGCAGTTGGGCTTTTGTGCTGTGTCCCTACCTGGCAGGGGTGTTTTACAACAGGCTTTGTGCTATGTTCCCACCTGGCAGGGGTGTTTTACAACTCTTCCGGCTTGGCACCATGTTACGACATATACCAGCTGTACCGGTCCTGTGCTGACCCCACGGGCTGTGGCATCGGCTTGGATGCGGAGGCTTGGGACTACCAGGTAAGGGGTTAGAGACACCAACAACTTTCAGCTGCTGGCCTGGTTATCCCCCCACCCCATGACAGCTTTTGTGCTTCTCTTAGGTTTGCACCGAGATCAACTTAACTTTCAACAGCAACAATGTGACAGACATGTTCCCCGAGATGCCCTTCACAGAGGCCATGCGGGAGCAGTACTGTTGGAACAAGTGGCACGTGAGGCCACGAGCACACTGGTTGCAGACAAACTTTTGGGGAGGAGGTGAATTGTGCTGACTGCTCATTCCTTTGTGTTTCCCTGTAGCTGTCTGCCTGTCGCCCTCTGCCCAGCTAAGCCCCATGAGGACAGGCACAGCGCACTAATGGGTCCTGGCAGAAAGTCACAGCCTTGTGCTGACTTGAGCCAAACAGAGGTTTCCCTATTCCCTTAGGACAGAAGTGGAAAACATAAGAACTGCCAAGAATTTGTTCTGTTCTCCAGTGTTTTCTGTTCTTGGCCATGTTTGCTGCAGTAGCCAAATACATTTGGATAACTGCACAGGAAGGAGACCTCTCAATTATTCTCTCTCTGGATTTCAGACCTGAGAAGTGCAAGCAACATCATTTTTTCAAATGGAGACTTGGACCCGTGGGCTGGAGGTGGGGTAAGCATGTGCACTCGTGCACCCTGAGCACAGAGCAGCCTTTGCAGGTAACACACTACCCCCTCTTCTTTTCAGAGCAACGCTGGCGATCCAGTTTTAGCCCATTTGAGTTTCTGCGAGCAGCTGTTTTATGCTGAGCCACTGAGGAGCCTCAGGACTCTAACGATGGACACAGAGTAGTGTCCATCAGCCAGGAACACTGATGGAACAAACGTGGGTTCAGTAGTGCAGACATAGCAGGACCTTCTTTACCCCACACCCAGGGTCTGAACCACAACCCGGTGTGTTTCTGTGTCCACATGTGGTCTCGGTGCTGCCGGCCAGGTGCTCCTGGCTCTCTCCAGTCCCAGCACACTTGGTGAGACCAAGCCAGGTGCTGTGAGCAGTGACTCAAACCAGGCATGTTTTGGCTTAGATTCAGCAAAACTTCAGAGTGCTGGCAGGGCTCAAGTTTAAAATTTAAAACCAGAAGTGACCCAGAACTGGATTTTGAGCTAGTTGAGCTCCTGATTTAATGCAGAAGTTCTTTGTTCTAGGCTGGCTTGGAATCCCAGCTGCAAGAACAACAGGCTGCTTAGGGTGTGTGGGCCCAAAGGAGACTTATTTCACTCTGCCAGGGCTGTAATCAGCTGACAGTTCCCACTTTGGGGGCAGCCTTCCCTTCATTTGGGACAGGTGATCTGGCTCATTAGGACTGTTAGCTGTGTGCACGATACCAGCCATGCTTTTTCCTTAGTCTTGCCCAGATCATGTTCCAGTTTTCAGAACTGATGTCCAGTTCTTCCCAGTAACTTGGTGAGAGCTGACCTCTGCTCTTTCTCCTTCCAGATAAACAGTAGCCTCAGCCCTTCACTGATTGCACTGACCGTTAAAGGAGGTGCCCATCACCTTGATCTCCGGTAAGTACTAAATTCTCCTTTGGCTGACAGAATTCTGATGCCCCAGCTGTTTGATCTCAGCAAGCCACAGCCCAAAGAACGAAGAGATACTTTGGAACCACAAAATCATGAGAGTTGTTGAGGTTGGAAAAGACCTCTAAGATCATCAAGTCCAACTATCAACCCAACACCACCACCATGTTCTCTACTAAACCATGTCGTCAACTGCCACATCCAAGTTTTTTTGAACACTTCCAGGGATGGTGACTTAACACTTCCCTGGGCAGCCTGTTCCAATGCCTTACAACCTTTTCTATGAAAAAAAATTCCCTAATATCCAATCTAAAGATCTGCTGTTTCAACTTGAGGCCGTTTCCTCTTGCCCTGTCACTTGATCCCTGGGAGAAGAGCCTGAACACCCCCCTGGCTCCACCCTCCTATCAGGGAGTTGCAGAGAGTGAGAAGGTCCCCCTTGAGCCTTCTTTTTCCAGGCTGAGCCCCCCAGCTTCCTCAGCTGCATCTCATCAGACTTGTGCTTCAGACGCTTCCCCAGCTCCATTGGCCTTCTCTGGAAACACTCCAGCTCCTCAATGTCTTTCTTGTTATGAGGGGCCCAAAACTGACCTCAGGATTTGAAGTGTGGCCTCACCAGTGCCCAGCACTGGAGAAGTACTTACAGAGGACTGGATACCAGGCTGTTGGCAGCCCAATGTGGAAGAGCAATCTTCCCCAGCACAGGGCTCTTCCAACCCTCCAGGGATGCTGGGCTGTGCAGAACTTGGCACTCGGCTCACCTACTGTCACTAGATCAGGTTCTTGCACAGGGATTGGCACAAGTGTGTGACACCCTGCAGCAATCAGTCATGTGAAGTCATCTGGTGCCTCCTGGCATTAGCCATCAGCCTTCGGGCCTGGAGCAGAGTGGGAAGCAGCCAGTGATGCAAGGGCAAGCTCAGGGCTCCTGCCCATATTTAGGCTGCTGCTTAAATGTGAAACACAAACCAGTCAGTAACTGTCCTTCAGTTTCCAGGCTCTGTCTGTGCAGGAGGCAAAGAGCTACTGCCCAATGACTGATGCTGCTCTGCTCTCTCTAGGGGACGCAACCCAGCTGACCCGCCATCGGTCACAGAAGTGCGCAGGCTGGAAGCCAAGATCATTGACGGCTGGGTGAAATCTGCGGGCAAGGAGTGGGCATGGGAGCAGCACGTGGGAGCTGCAGCGGGCAGCCAGCTGTGAGCCCTCCATCCCCACAGCCCCCAGGCAGTGCAGGCTCTGAGCCCCTCCATCCCCACAGTCCCCTGGGTGGTGCAGCTGCTCCAGGACACAGCAGCCTGCTGAGCTGGGTCCAGGCTGGGTGGGACACTGTTCTCTCCTCTGCCATGATGGTGGAATTTCCCCTTTCCAAAGTGTCCCACCTGCACCTCATTGAGCATCAAAAGAAAAGCAAAAGGCCAAATCACTGACTTGCAACCAAAACCACACTGTTTGGAGTCCATGCTTGCCTGCTTGGAATGAGCTGTTACAAGGGGTAGGAATAAGAAAAGCTTGCCTGGAAGGCCCAAGAACTATCACAGCTCTAAACAAGATGATTGCATGAGGCACCTTAAGCTTGAAGCTAAATTATTTTTAGAGAAAAAGTATTAGAAGGCTAATGGAAAAGCAGAGGTATGGTCATGACTGACACAGGGGGCTCCACTGGTGACCAGTTATGTAAAACAGACTGTCAGCCTCAGCCAGGGCTATGGGTTTGGGGTATTTTGGTTTTAACTTGCCCAGGAGATTCCAGTTGCTGAGATGAAGACTTACACAAAGTAATCCTGGTGTGCAATGCTGCCACTCAAGGGCTGTGTATTAGTGACCAGTAAAGCACACTTCCACTGAGACATTTTCAGAGCTTTTTAAAACAAATTACAAGTTTATTAAAGTGTGTGATATCAAAGTTTATTAAACTGTGTGATATAATTCCATGGCTTGGAATATATAACCGAATGTATAACCGAAGAAGATAAAAAGGGTTCCTTCTCACCTTCCCAGGTGGAATAATGCAGTAACTCATCTTTGCACAGAAACATGGATTCTTGCCTACTGGAATGACTATGCACCAATAATTACTAGCATAATTGTAAATGGATCAACTGAGGCAGCCAGTTGATTACTAGGGTTTAATATTTTTGCAGTGATTTTATTACTTTAGTGGAGAGGCTTCCTGGGTCCCCACAGGTTTCCATTGCTTGTGCAGCACAGTCACAGCAGTGCCTCAGCTCTCTGACACTGCCCAAACAGGCTTTGTGTCAGTGTTTGCACTGCTGGGCCCTCCCTGGTCACAGGAGGGCTGTTTCCCAGAGCCACTGCTGGTATTTCACAATGTTCAGGTGCTGACAAAGGACCCACATACCTCTGCCCTGTTCTTAAGAACAAAAGGCCAAAGCTTGTACCCCACCCCCTCAGAAATGCTGGAGAGAGCAGGAACAGATGGATCCATTCCTTTGTCAACTACTTCAGATATGTGTAAATGAAGGACAACGTGGAAGACCCGATTAGTCAACTCCAGTCCCCAAGAAAGCTGCTGTAAGCCTGCCAGTGGCACTACATCTTCAGAAAGACCCAAATCCTCTGTTCATGCAGATGAAAGCCTCCACTGGCCCTGCTCAGAGCTGCCACCATCCCTTCTGCTCCTGCTCAAGTTAGGCTTTGTGTTCGTTGCTCCAGCTGTGGCTTGTACAAGGCTGCCACACCCAGCCTTACTGAGGTGCTGGACTCATGTTCATCCTCCATGCTCAGAGCCCTCAATGTTCTGGAATTCAGATTTGCTGTATCCAGGCATTATTCAGGATTAGCACCACAATAATAAAAAAAAAAAGCAGAGAGCAAGGATTGCATCTTGCTTGTATTCCCTTTCTAACAGCACCCTTAAGTCCCACAAGCAGGCACCCAGTGACACCAGCCCAGCAGTGCATGAACACAGCCAGGCTCAGGGAGAGTCTTTTTGGGAAATCAATGCAAGTCACCCTTGCAGTCAGGGTTGGGTTTGGGCTTTGGAGGGAAAGGAGGCCCAGGTGTCTGCTGACCTTCCAGAAGGGCAAGAGTTCTTTAATCCCCTTATACTGGACTACACTGAGCTCCTATTTTCCTCTTACAGATAGTTCTTGCCCCAAAGGAATCCACATAGCGTGAGGAACACCCACTGACTGATATGGATGGATGAATAAAAGGCTTTCAGACACCATGGCAAAGAGATAAACATAATACATATGGACTTTCAGTACAGATGAGCAGTGCTAAAAAAGAAACCATGGCAGAAGTCTGAAGCCAGTGCCACCAACATCCATAATGTGTTGAAGCCTTGGGCAAGCAAGCGTGGGATGTAAGTGGAAAACCCTGGTTGTGTGGTGCTGTCTGAGCTGAAGGGAAGAACCACAGCCACACAGCAGCAGTCACTGCTCATGAGCATCATGGGAACACTGCTCCTGGCTCAACTTCAGGGCCACAAAAGGAAAATGGGGTGCCAGCAGGAGTGACCCAGACCAGACCATGACTGCAGCCCCTCCCCTATGCTCAACAACCCAGTGGGGTTGTTGAACAAAGGCTCGTTTGTTCCATCGTCACATACCAACGTGGCAAGTGGGGGCAATGTGAGAACATTACACAGAACAGGAACTCAGATTTCAGTGGAAGCCTCCAGACTTGGACAGCAATCTCCAGCAATATTATAGACGGAAAAACCCCAAGCCCTTCTTACCATATCCAAAGTCAGAAAAATCTTAAATTTTCTGTTGAAGCAACAAGTTTCATGAAGCTACCCTGTCCTGTCCGTTTTACTGGTCTTGTTAAATATACTGAGTGTGGCACTGGAAATCAGGAGCTGACTTCCCTGCAGGGCTATTTCTAGGAGCGCACAGCTGAAGGGAAGTCCTAAAGTGCAGGAGAAATTCACAAAACTGTAAATGTGTTACTGCAAAAACGTTTCCTGTTCTCATCCCTCATCACTGCCAACATCACACTGGTATGGAACTGGAAACAAGGTGTACTCTTTGTCTAGTATTTGGAGGAGTAAATACAGGTGTACCTGAACTTGGCGAAATGCGAAAATCCTGTTACTGGAAAGTCCTGTGAAACACGAGGGGGCCTCTCAGCCAACACCAGGGACCTGGCAAAACTGCCAGTTTCTATGACCTGTAATGAGAATTCAGCTTTCAGAAGTTCAGGGATTAGATGCTAGCTGTGCCCCATCCATCTGCTGAATTTTCTTTGAGCAAACAGGTCTGTATTTTTTTCCTAAGCTGTGGCTCAAAGCCCCAAGTTTGAGACTCCCAAGTCCTACAGCCATGCAGCTCTCTGTGGCTCTGCCGGTGCCCGGCTCTGTTCCTCAGTGAAAGCCCAAGGGAACAGTAGTGGGGCAGTGGGGCCAAGGGTTGTTTTAGTTTAATTAGGCGGGCACTCAAGCTCTTGGAGAGAAACCACTGCAGCTCTTTGTGCAGAAGGACAGAATCCCGGCTCAGTGGTGGCCTTTCCACAACATTCCACTTCAGCCAGGAGCATCCCAGTACACTGAAACATCAGAGCGGGTTACGGACCAGGAAGTTCAGGCTTTGGAACAAGGAACCACAGAGTGCTCAAAGGGAAACTTTTGATTTTCTGTTGTGCTGGGGGAGCACATCGTGGAATAGAGATGAGCTGTGGAGCTCAGAGACTGACCTGACACAACAGTTGGTTAAGAAAGTAAAAATAAATAAGCAATTAAAATGACCTTTGCAAGAGAACAGGAAGAACAGATGAGCTTTGTTCAGATTCTTTAGTTTGTGCCATTTCGCATGTGATACAGGGGTGTGAAACATGCATTTGTTCTCAAGGGAAGCGAGAACTGAACAATCTGAACTTCAGGTTTAAAGGTTGAGGACAGTAAAGCCACATTTTGCAGAGATTCCATGTCCCAACAAGAACTAGGTAGAAATCAGATGGACCAACAGGCTCAGCTAAAAGATAAGATATGTTTGGGAAACTGATGATTTATTCTTCTCTCCCTTCCTTTAACTCATTAGGAAATGAATTATTACTCTCAAGCCAATCATAAGGCAAAAATAATATAATGCAGACTCCCGCAGTCCCATTCGTAGAATCGATTACATTAAGACTAATGTAAGACTTCAAGAACAGAATATTTTTGGTAAGCATTTCTGTGTATTCCATTTCCTAAGAAATGTCTCTGTTGCCTCAATCAGGCAGCTGTATGGGTGAAACACCAAACCCCAGAAGTTTCACAATCCATAGCACAGTTATAATTAAGGGTTCAGTACTAGCTTCAGTCAAAGGCACAAGGCCAAAGCAACACAAGTCACCAGGACCTGCGTAGTGTCACTGAATTTATCTTTTTTTTCTTTATTCTCCAATTTTAAGATTAGCTTTTAGCGAAAGCTCAGCTGCTTAGCAGCAGAGACCTGCTCCACAAACAAAAACACTGAAGGTGTTACCTCCCACATTTCAACAGCACCTTCCTCATTTGCTGTTGTGTCAAAGAAAACAAAAGTATTGGCAACCAATCAGTTGTGCAGCCAAAGGCCACAGTGACTGGATTCCACTGCACATGTATGTGAGAAGCTCATTGCAGGGGTTACTGCTGGGAAATGAGTGGGAGGAACATTAGCACTCTGCACTGACCTGTTCTGTCCTGCCACTCCCAGGATACCTTTGATGATACAAAAGGTGCATTAAATAATTTGTAAGAGTTCTTAATTTCCATAACCCATCATTAGTACATGGAATGATAAATATTCTCTAAAAGACTTAAATAGTGGTCCCAAGGGTAACTTGTAACTCCAGCAAACAAAATGGATCAGCATAAAACAAAGACGTATCCTACTTTACAAATCGAAGGTTTTAATTACTATAAAATACACATACCTCCCTCAGCCATTCCAGTCAGACTCAATCAGTTCTGTCAGTGGCCCTGGTGTTAGTGGGGACTGGACCTCCCTGCTGCCACCACATACCTGTTTGTGCCCATCACACCCACTGCCACAGGGGAAAGGGCATTTCAGTGAGAACAACCTCTTCCAGAAATATGAACAAGCACATTTCTGAGATCTTATCTGTGAATACAGGACTGTCCAAGTAGCTACAAATCCAAAAGGACAAGCACTAAAGAAAGCTCATTTCCAAATTCATGGTTTAAAATCTATTGCACATATAAAAATGAAAGATTCCAGGGCTCCAATAAGATTCTTAAAAAACCTGGGTCTGCTTTGTCTTCAAGCAACTGAAATGGATTTCTCTAATTCTACTGGGACCTGAAATTGCTGTAATACTTTCAGACTGTCTGCTTTTAACACTACTATCGAAAATACTTCTAACCAATGCATTACTAAGGAAAAAAAAACCTGAAAATTTCTCCACAGTCCAAGAAATTATGAATAACATAAAATGTGCTGTACAGTTGTAAGCTTGAGTCAACAAGACTCACCTCATGACGTGATATCTGGACAGGAAGGGACGGAAGGAGGCTGATAATTAATGTGCTCACAAGCTTTCCCAGTACCCAACCTCAGAAAGCAGCTTTCAGTCAGAATACCTGAGTCTAACTGATGCAAATAATACATAAAATGCACGTGTAGTTTCACTTGTATTTCACATTATCTCCTGCATTCCTGCAGATAAGTTAAAAAACTGCAATACCTCTAAAAAATTATATACCACTTTGAGCCAAACCAGCAGCAAATTCCCTTTCACCATTCATTTCAGCCTCAGCTTGAACAGACTGTTCAAAGTGCTCTACAAAAACTAAGACCCTATACAATGGATGCTCTGCTGCTGCTTCCTTCTGCTAAGGTGATGCAGCACAGCTTGTGAGTTTGGAATGAGATCAGAGTATCAGCAGCAATACTGACAGCTTTGCTTCTACCTGGGACAGCACTACAGCTCTTTTGTTTATTCCACTTTGCACCTGAACCACTGTCACATTCTGACAAAGGAATGGCTCTGTAATCCAGTGTTTCAGTGAATCCAGAATAAACCAAAAAACTGTAGGCTTATTCTTGCTCTCCAGGAACAACCCTGTGCCCTAAGCTGACTCGCTGCATTCCCAATATATAATGAGCATTTAGTAAGACTGACATAAGTGAGTTCTGGGTCACCAGAGCCCCATGAATGTCGTGGTCCACACTGCAATTACTCTCTGAACCTTGTCATCAGTACTAGGGAAACCAGCTTCATATGGCACAGTTTGTTCATCCCAGAACCAGGGATTAGATTTAAGACTGACATGATTTCTTCAAACCAGAGATGCTTTCCCCAAGGTTTTGTTTGTTGTTTGAAGCCAAAAAAGGTGCAATATAGCATCTCTCCTCAAACCCTGAAAAGTAAAGTGACTTGGAGATAAAAATGCCACCACTGAAAGGTCCAGTGTTGCAGAGTCTATGCTGGCACCCAGATAGGGAGTGGATGAGCCTCCGTGTTAAAGATGTATTTGTCAAGGTTGATTAAGTCTATGTCATCTGAAAACAGCAGAAACATGTATTTGAGTGTTTCCCCAAGGAAGAAGCTCTCCATCTTATCCCGTGGCTCTGGATTACTGGGATTCTGGACGTTGTTAATGGAAGTATAACCACCTGTAGGAACCTGTGCCAAAAAAAAAAACAACAGAAATTTGTATCTTTACATAATATAAAATAAATTATTTTTTACTTCCTAACATCCAGATGCACTTGGAGAAGATAAGTGCTAGGAAACAGATCAGCATGTTTTTCATTTTGTACTTGGTTTTCCTTTACTTACAAAGCTTCAGTTATGAAAAACACCAACTCATTGCATTTTAAAAGAAACCACAAAGATAAAATGAAGCATTTATACTTAAGTTAAAGAGGTATCACAAGGAACATCCCCTTGAAGTTTCTGGACAAACATACAGAAAGGAACTAGCGATTTCTAGGTTAGAGCTGGCCCAAGCCCCACACCCATTTCTTCTAAGAACAGACCATGGACATTTGATGACCACTGGCATCTAGGCCACACTTTCACAGCATATCAGTGATATCTCAACCAGCACTGTAGTCAGAATGAATACAAAACCCCTCTATCAAACCATTAGTGCCATTTTGTGCCCATTTTTTTCTTTGGCAACTTTAATCAGAGCATTCATTCAATCCAGCCAGGTCCTTCTCAACTTCTGAATTCTAAAAGCAACCACAGTAGAGATTCAAACAGCTTCCAAGATGTAGAGACACTCTGGCAGTCTTGCCTACGGCTTCTACATTCCACTTTTTAATCAATGCAATGCAAGTTCTTTCCCTATATGGACTAAGTAGTGTATCTCAAACTGTAAGAAAACAAATTTTTCTGTATATTCTTACAAATTTCCCCACAGGTATCTGATGAATCTTGAAACACAGTAAGTTTCCAAAGTTGGTGTTAGAAAGCAAGCGAGCAAATAAAGTCCTGACAGAACAAGGTCACGTGGCCTTACCCGTGTGTATTTATTGAAGTTCTGCAAGATTTCCCAGCCCCAGTCTTGATATTTCTTATCACCAGTGAATCTGTACATATAAAAAAGGCTTTCCACAGTTTCTGGTCGCAGTAAGTTGTGCCTGTCTGCGGGCTGCAAGAGAAAAAAAAGGCAAGAGTACTTCAGACAGGGAATTTCCTCAAGGACACATGCAGGGAAAAAGATAATGATTCCCATCTCCATCTATTTCTAAGAGTTTGCTATGCGTAACTCAGCTTCTAAATACACTATCAGGGTAATTAAAACCAAAGCCTAGGGTACAGCTAGAAGGCAAGGCAGCAAAGGAATTAACTGCTCCACAACAGACCCCATCACCAGTATCTGGCCAGGAGTTCAACAGCAGAACAGAGCTACCGAGGAGTCATGGAATTGGAGTCCAGGCCAGCTATATCTGCTCACCTTGATTTCCACATCTTTGTGGCCCTTCTGCGCATGGAGGTTGAAATGTACGATCTCCGGGCTCAGGCCTGTCTCTACTTGAGCGTACATCTGGTAGCAGGTTTCTATAAGGGCTTCAGCCAACTTCATATGATCAGCATCCAGTCCATTGTGGGCTCCTAGTGCCAAAGTACCCGGCAAGAAGCAAACCAAGTGATCCTGCACGACAAGACAACTCTTACTGCAGAGAAGTTATGCATCAAACAGGTATTTGTGTGTGTGCGCGCGCGTGCATCTCTGTCTGTCTGGGTTTATTCTTTCTCTTCTTCAAAACACATTTCTGGTACCTACAACTTGAGGATAAGTTTTTAACAATCTAATGTAATGCAGCATGAGGCAAGCAGAGAAATCATTAATTTGGAAAACATCCCAGACTGTGTTTCTATGACAAGTTTCTGGAAAAAAGGTCTTAGGTCAGGGGGAAGGGGAGGAGAGTGTCTTTTGGTTTACCAGAACCATACAATACATTCCATATCAGCTCATCCAGGGGGTCAGCAGAACCACCTAAAGGTTTGGTTGTCCTCATTCTGGGGCTAGTCCACCACTGATATAAGACTGTAAGAACTGCAGATTGATGTCACATATGGGATTTAAAATGATTCTTAACATTCAGAATGAAAGTTCAGGTCTCATCATCCAAAAAGACAGTAAAACCATTCTGATGCCCCTGTATGGACCTTCAAAAGCTTTGTCCAGTCCTAAAGGAAAGCTGAGGGTTGCAAAGGTCAACATAAACATAAGAGCCAAACATTCCCCATTTTTCCAGCTGGCCAGGGTAAAAGACCTGTCCAGCCTTTCAACAAGTAATAATAAATTAAATACCAAAATTCTAACTTCCTGGAACAGAAGAAAGTGTACTGACACATGGAGATGCCTAAGCCAAATCTATCTGTCTCAATTCAATTCTGTCCCATCTTGGGATGGAGCAGCCCCCTCTACCCAGACTCTGGTGTCACTCACAGCAGGTTTGGAGAGCTTTTGGGAAATTCAGATCCATGCTGAAAACTAGATCTGAGGATCTAAAAAATATACATCAGGAAACCAAACAAGTAATAGGATTCATTAAAGCTCACTTCAGGTATTGAAAAAGATAAGGCTACACATACATTAGTAATACATCACTTACATTAGTAATACATCACTTGCCTCTAAGACAAGCCACACGCACGTACCATACCTGCACTTGCATGAGATTTTTAACACTCGCATGAGATCTTTAACTGCAAGATCTTAAAATGCATTTTAAAGAGTATGGATGCATATATTAAGAGCAGGGAGTTAAGATTAATCAATTTTCCCCACAGCAAACAGCATACTGTTTTACTCAAGAACCCTACAGTAGGAAAAGAAAAAAAAGTCATGAATGGACAGAATCCTCCAAAATTATCAGATTTTTTTTTAATCCCATAACACAATATTAGATCACCATCTTCTTTTGAAGGCAAATCTGAAAAGCCAGGTGTGCGAGTGTCCACATATATTTTTGAATTACGGAAAATGAATAATACATAAGATAGGCATTGCCTCAACAGCTTCAGACACTGGTTCATGACCAAAAAAAACAGAAGAAAAAAAGAGAAAGAAAATCAGAAAATTTAACTCCAGCACCACAATGTTCAATCTTAGAGGAAAATAAATGGGTTTACTAGAATAACTCAAAGACAAGGCCCCTGGTTTGCACATGCAGTTAGTATGTACAAAGCAGTTACTGCCATCACACTGGAGAGACAGATGTCTATGTATATATAGTCTGGAGTTTTGGTTTTTTGTTGGTTTAGGGTGGTTGTTTTTTCCTTTAGAGAGGGAAAAGCTTTGCATTTGCCTGGTCGTGTGTTGGGTTTTATTTAAATTTTGTCATGGCTTTTCTGTTTTCTTTTGTTGTTTTTTTTTAATGCAATTGTATTTCTTACCATCTTGGCACTGAAATGGCCATGAGCAAGCTCTCCTACAAAAGTAAGCTTCTTGGGGGCTGATCTCTGAAGAAGATGCTTTTTCACCCCTTCTATGGCTCTCATATAGTCTTCCAATAGCCTGTGAATTAAAATCATTCCCAGATGGCTCACGTACACACAGTCAAAACGTATTTCATTATAGCTGATCACCACAATCCTTTAGGAGACTGTTATTTTGGTCTAAAGAATAATATTTAACTAAATGTGAAAACTGACAAAAAAACCTCAAAGTCACCATTAACTGGACGTTAATTGGTTGTTGCTACCATGTAGCAATACTTTAAAAAGTAAACCCTTATTTATGTATTAAAGAAAACATCCCCAACTGTTTCTAGGCAATAGCCAAAAATTATTTCAAAAATTCTTGGAAGTAAAGTAATTGAAATCACAGAAAATCTAGGCTGGGAAGGACCTCATGGAGGTCTCTACTTCATCACTCTGCTCTGAGGCAGATTCAGTTACATCAGGTTTCCTGAGGTTTTATCCAAGCAATTTTTTAGTACCTCCATCCAAAGATGCAGTAGTATCTCCATCCAAGATGGAGATTCAAGGACTTGGAGCAATCTTTTCCAATTGACCTCTCTCATTGTGAAACATTGTTTTGCAGTATTTAATTTGATTTTCCTTTGTTTCCAAGAACTTTCATGTGGAAAACAACCTGTTGATTAATTCCATTGCAAGGCTCACAAAATGCCATTGTGGTCCCAAAAACACTGATTCTCCATTTACAGTGAGGTAAAGCTTGGAAAAAGCAGTGAGAAAACTTTGTTTGTAGAAAGGCATTTGCTCTGATACACAGAAAAGCCTCTAAGAGGCATGTTGTCACTCTCTCTGCATTAAACCCCTCAAAATGAACAAGTCCAACATAATTAGCTCATAATGCAGACAAAAACTGCTGGATTTTTTGTCTTATTTTGGAGGAAACCTTCTTTTTCAACGTCTTTAATTCCTCTGCTCCTTGTACAGTTTCTCTTCCACTTTTGCAGTGCAGACAAAAGAAACATATGAGACTTAAAGAGGGACTTTTTACAAGGGCATGTAGTGATAGAGAAAGGGGTTTTAAATTGAAAGTAAGTAGGTTTACATTGGATATTAGGAAGAAATTCTTCCCTGTTGGGGTGGTGAGGCCCTGGCACAGGTTGCCCAGAGAAGCTGTGGCTGCCCCATCCCTGGGAGTGTTCAAGGCCAGGTTGGACGGGGCTTGGAGCAACCTGGGGTAGTGGAAGGTGTCCCTGCCCATAGAATGAGATGAGCTTTAAGGTCCCTTCAAACCCAAACCAGTCTGTGGTTCTGTAATTAAAGCAAAGATTTACACAAACATCAAACTTCAGTCTCCTTTTACCCTTCACTAACAAACCCAGAGCAAACACAGACATTGCTGGTGAAAGGAAATATCAGCAGTATTTCAGAAGTGTCTAATTATGCTCCATATTTACAGCAAAGACTTAATTTTCATCTCCTGCTGTCACACTCCTTACATCTGATGAGCTGAGGAAGAAAAGCTTTCTGTGGAGAAGGAGTTTTGAGACTAAGCCTAACTCTCCTACTGGTTTTACATGAAGTTACCACAGGTCCCTCTTGCTGCTTAGCTTGCTTTTAAAAACAGTGATATGTTCACTTGACTCTTGGGCACATATGTTATTTTTCTTTAAGCAGCAAACTCACTACAACAAAACAGCTCACCTAATTCTCACACCGATATGAGAAGTGGAAAGAACTTACTCGTTTTCTTTTTTCCCACCCTGAATCCACTGCTTGAGCAGATACTCATAGTAGCTGTCGGCTCTGGCTCCCAGAGTGTAGACCCCCAGGTGGGTGAACTGCCCGCTGTTGGTGTTGATGAACATAGGCACGAGGCCATCATTTTTCCCTGAGAGGGTGTGAACATGCTTCATCACCTCATCTACAGCTTTCTACAAGAAAGAAAATGGCAAACATAAATTACAGGTATAAATGATGCACAAAACCGTAGCTAGTAACTACAGGCCAGCAACAAATCTGTAACTTTTCTTACCTAAATTAGCATCAGGGACATAAAGTTCAGCTCGAGCAATATTTCAATACAGGATTTCAAACTTTTGGACTCCCAAAACATAATGTTCTGGGTACATTTAAGTACTCTGAAATAATTATAACTGTTTCCTTTCCTTCAAGGTAAGCCCACTCGAAAGCCAGTACTATGGGACAGGACTATGATCTGATTTACTCAGCTTTGCAAAGTAGAAGTCCAGCTAAAATAACAACTACATGAATCATGCAATAGCTAAAGCTTCCTTAAATAACTGCATTCTTCAAAACTGAGCTGTGGATACAGTTCAAAACAATAAAACACATCAGCAAACAAAAAGAAAAGTGGAAAATATTATTTTCTCTGAAATTACTCTTCCCTATACTGTGACCTGCTCTCAGACTCTTATCTAGTGAGTCATATTTTAGTTCCTTGGATGGCAACACTACAGTTTTGTTCTTTGCGTATAGATAATGGCATCAAGAAACCACACTCAGAATTTTTAATTTTTTTAACTAAAAGCTGTTTCTGAGGAAGAAAAATAATTATTCATCTCCACTACTACTTTTTGGTATTCAATAAAATAATCAGGACGTTTTGTTTATTTTTCTTCCCTCATCTAGAGTTTCACAACTTATTTATTGTAACTTAGAGACTCCAGAGACCATGAGTACTGATGAGAGTCAGTGGTGGAGCTGCAGAGAGGTGGAAAAAGAAAGAGACATCAACTTATTCTTCCATACCCGAAACTTCTCATCTCCAGTGAGACGAGAGAGCTCCCTAAACTCCAGCTGAATGCTGGTCACCTCTGCCACAGTGCTATCGGATGTCCAACGAGGAGGGTGTGCAGTGCCCCGGCCGATGTTGACATCAGAATACGGTATCTTGGAGGGGGTCTTGAATGCTGGCATAAGCCTGTTCCCAATGTCTTTCTAGAGAAAACCCATAAGCACAGGACAAAGCAACAAACAAAACAAAAAATAAATATACACTCTCACCCCATTAGATTTTCTTCACCAAGAAGACAGAAAAAGACAGAACAGCAGCTTAGTTTTAGATGGTCCAAGCAATTAAAGAATTAAAAGAGGTCATGAACTTATTCATAGTAATGAGCAGAGTTTCCACCTTGTCCCTAGCACTGCAGGCCTCATCTGAGGCTGCAATCCCTATTCCACATGATGCAAGTCTGCAGTCACTAACTGCATCTAGCTAATCTGAAGAGGTGGCTGACGCTGTTAAGACACACAGAGAGGGAATCAAAAGACAATTATTACCCTTTGCCAAGCATTTATTTCTTCCTTTGTTTCATGAACTTTATTACAGTCAGCCATTCATCAGCAGTGAGCAGGCATACAAGGATAAGTGATGAACACAGCGAGGTTCTGAGGTCATCCAAAGAGCAAAGAGAGGTGCAGGCTTAAAAGCTTAATGGTAAATCCCTTTCCCACCACTTTAAATATGAAATTCTTAAAAAACATTTAACTTTCTGAGAAATCTTCCCTCAACTTTGTCCAATACGGAATACATAACCCAGTTTCATTTGTAAGGCCTGTCACTCACAGCTTTTTCCAGGAAAAGGCTATCTCCAGAGAGGTGGTAGGTGCTCAGCAAGCCGCCCAGGATACGGATAGTGCTCTCAAATAGGTTCACATCCACATTTTTATCAAATACTAAATCATTTGCTACCCATTTTCTTGCTTCTTCAAATTCTGCAAAGTATAAAAGGTAGTTCATTTTATGAACTTCTGGAATGTTCAAACAATTAGAGATATGAGTATTCCATATATCCCAGACACTTATTTATATCTGTCTACAGAGGTGATCATTTTAGGTGGAAAACTAAAGCGAAGAGCTGGCTTAATTCTTATTCAGCACACATCACAGATGCATACAGAAGAAATATCCACCAAAACAGAAAGTTCTTAATAGTCCAAGAAAAGAAGGAATAGAGGAAGTCTTTATTTAAAAAATCCAGAAATTTAAGTCTTTCAAATCCATCCATTTGACTTGTCAGACAATTAGTTACACTTTCACAGAGCCTTCTGTTTTTAATTAAATCTTCAACCAAAGCTGTTATCTACCAAGACAACAGATAACATATTCAGTTAACAGCCATTAACACCTTTAGCCTAGCAATGTCCTGGGGAGCCTGCTTCCTGTCTCAGCACTTGATACACAAAATCCCAACAGGTTGCAATTTTTTTCTCTAGGAACAAAAATGGTTGTTTATCACACTACTAATTTAAAAAAAAGAACGTAAAAAGAAAGCCATTTTAGATTCATCAGCCAGCTTAGCAGCAGCAGCATCACTCAATGACTGCTTTGGCAGAGCGTCTATCTCCATGGTCCATGTGAGTCAGCTCCGCCTCCAATTGTGAGGGCTGGGCTATCTCGAACAATCTCACAGCCTCCAGAAATTCTTTCTTGTGAGAAGCAGCAGCACAACCAGTTTCCCAGAAATTGAAGGCATTTCACAGAAGATAAACTCTAAAGCAAAAGGATGCCTCTGTGCCCTCTGGTCTTGGATGCTGAGCAGATTAAGGACCACAGAAAATCTCCCAGACAGATGTTAGGGCTATTAGCAGCAGAACAGCAAAGGCACAGTCCTCTGCCACAGAAGCTTTTGCATTCATCGGCTAATAAAAAAGACTGGCAGCCTCAAAGAAAACTTTGATTTACATAGCATTTGTTATTCAGAAGATACCTCAGGAGCTTTCTAAGGCAATCAGCAGAACTGCTATAAAATATGAAGAATTCCTCACCAAGAACCCCTTTTCAGCACATCTAAATTACTAAAAATTTATTTTAAAAATTTTATTCAGTTCGCAATTAATATTTTAGGAAAAAAAAAGAGCAACACACTGACAACTTGATGAAACTTCAAGACAGCCTACTGAGGACTAGAGCTGCACACACATGACATATTAAACCAAACGAAAAATTCTATTTTATGCAAACTTCAAAGGTAGAAGAGAGAGAACCATGAAGGACTGAGTATTTATTGTCCCCTTACTAGCAGCTCTGTTCTCCCTATCTCATAGAAAAAGCTGCACGATTAATAAAAGTTTACAAAGGAGGCTATCTACCAAGGTTAAATAAATACAGTTCCAGAAATTTTTAAAAAACACTAAAAGGCATGCACCACCAAAAAAAAAAAAAGCCAAACACACAACAAAAAATTCCTCTAAAATACTGATTAGGCATTTAAGTTTTTTGCAACAGAATTGCAAAAATTTTGGCTTGGTTTTTAAAATCTGTTTTAAAGTTTTCTAACATGGTCACTTCCAGAATCTCTCTCAAAAATACAGGCAGAAGAGCAATTCAGGAAGAAGGTATTGAGTGCTCCCTTTCTCCACCCATGGATTCCTTACAGATATATCCACTGCATCTCTTGTTGTATATAACCATGGAATATTCTTTTTCTGGCTCAAAATTCTACTGCAAGAAAAACACTGTCCTTTAATATAGTTGGGTTTTTTAAAAAATATTTTATACATATTTATGTGTGTGTATGTATATATATATGTGTGTGTATATATATATTTTTTTACCCACATAGGAAAGCTAAACTTACTGGTCACACGTAAAAAATGTTCCCCTCAAAGACCTCTGAACATGCACTGCCTGGATATAATATAAGGAATTATTTTAGAGGGAAACAAACGGAGGAGGAAAAAAAGTTACCTTCTTTTAAGCCTAAAATCCACATGGTATCCAAGGCATCAATTAAGGTAAGCCCAAGTCCAAACCACTCACTGTAGGACTTGGACAAAGGCTTCAGCTCATCATGGCCCCAGGCAAAATCCTTGTACCCTCTCCAGGCATGGCGGAAGGCTTCGATCACAGCCAGCTGGCGCTCATTTATGGGCACTGCAAAGGAAAACAGCACCTTGCTCAGGACTTTTGCAGGGCATTATGCAGCTATACCAAGCACCATTTTGCTGCATTCTACCCAAAATAAACTTTCTTCCAAACTAACTGATCCATGCAACGGAAAAACCATCCTCACATTATTCTTTTCAGGACAGCCTTTTCTCTGTAGAATAACCAGTCAGTGTTTCTGGTCAGCAATTCAGCCAGGTGGAAAAAGAGATATCTCTCCCTGGCAACAAAATTGTCACTTCTGCAAATAAAACATTAAAATAATCACATGTACAGTTGTAGATTATTATCACTAAAGCTCAAAGAGCTGAAGTCAGGAAATACCAAATTAAGATCCACAGTAATTCAGCTGCCAAATACATATGCTTAACAATACAATCCTCAACTGATCCAACACATACCATTTTTTCTTCATCTTCCCTCTTTTATTCATTGCTTTCTGTTAAATTTAAAACCACTTCTATAAAATGAATGTCTCTTGAACTTTTCATTTAATACCAAAAGAGGAAGAAAATTTACATTTTTTGTCTTGGCAAAGCCATGTCTTTCTCCATAATTCTACTGATATTTGCTTGCAATTTGCCATCACATGAATTTTATGTTACACATCCACCATGGAAAATTTCAAGCCCATTAGCTGAAATTTTTCAAAATTGTAAACAAAGACTTCTAGAGTGGGAAACACCAAGCAGCAAAGCTAACCCCATAAATATTCAGCTAGCAAAAGTGCAAATATAATGGCCCATCTTCGCGAACGAAGATTTGGGGAAAGGTCTTTTACCTTTCCAGCCTGCGCAATGGATTTTTTTAGGTGAGACACAGCCTGCGCTGAACTGAGCCCACCCTTTAATCCTAAGGTTCATCTGCCGGGGCCAAGCAAGCTTGGACAATGGCAGTGAGGTCCTCAGGACGTAGGTTTGTTTAGAGTGTCCTTCTCATAGATGGATGGCCACACAGGGCTAACGACCTCCATCAGGCCAGGAGACCGGGATTTGAACCCGTGGTCGCAGCAGTGAAAGTCCTGCACGCTAACCACTAGGCCACCAGGGGTCTCGTGCAAAAGTGCAAATACATCACATTGAAATACGCCATGTTTATCACACCAGAACTTCCTTGTTGAACCCAGAAAAAGGAACAACAGGTTCTTCACTTCACAAGGGCAGCAACTTCAAAAACAACTTCTGCAGCTTTCTGGTGAGCCTTAAAAACAGTTCAGTTTAGTTCAGGGAGGAAGTCACTTTCCCTGTATTTGCAGAACAAAAGGAAAACCACTGCTGAAAAAAGAAACTGTCTCTTTCACAACCTCTCTCCTTAGATTATCCTATCCTGAAATATGTGCCTCGTCCCAGAGACTATAATTCAAAGACTTTCAGATTCTGAAGGCTAATTAGCATGAAGACTGCCATGGTGGAGTAAGGACACTGAAAGGCTTGCATGTTCTTGGTAAGTAATCTTTCCTAAACTTTTTGTTTCCTTTAATTACAATAAATAAAATAGATGTGCATGGGGAAAATTCGCACAATTTCAACCATAAAAGCAAACAGAAATAAAGGTATAATTAACTGTACTATTTACCTGGTTCCTTCTGGTCTTCAGCCTCCACAAATGAAGGTTTTTCTGGTTCCTTTATTTTACTGGATGGAGGTTCAGTGTTTTGGTCAGGTTCTATCACTGCTCCTCTCCAGCTGCAAATACAAGGGACTGTAATTAAGGCTTATTTTGGTCACAGAAAGTCATGTGAATGAATGGGATTTATCTCTGCCTTTCCTTTATCTCATGATACTTTGATTAAAAAAAAGTTGGATTTTGTGTCAAGGATCAAAATAACTGTGTTGTCCACTAGATAAGTTTTCTGTTCAAAGAAAGAAATTTGCACCAGAGAAATTTTACTGTATTAAGAAATGTGTCTTACAAGCTCTTGGAATTTCATTAAACATCCTGGCAATGGAATTTAATAAAAAACACCTGAAAATGCTGCATTACAAGTAATTTGTTATCTACCAGCTCTGAAATGGCCACACCAGCCACTAACACTAAATAGTACCACACAAATGATGATCACCAAAAAATCACGAAGAAGCACAAAGGACGAGCTGCTCAAAGTATGGGCTTTGCTATCATGGGGTCACAAGCCTTCCCTGCCACCACAGATGCATAAATCAGTTTTACAGGTTTTTGTGAAAAACCTCATGAAGGAAAAGTCTTTCAGGATGGACTTCAATTCAAGCAAAGTTCATATCAAGATCAAACAATCTCGATCATACCACTTAATATACAGATATGTTGCCTTTGAGCTCATTGATATGCTTCCTAAAGAAACTAGGCTTACAGGACCTTTAAAGTTTATAGTGTTTACAGTCAGCATATCTTCTGACTTAAATAATCCCATATTTCATGTCTTACTTTCATTCTTTAAATTTGTAACTAGTCTTCAGTAAGCTTTCCTTGCTCTCCTAAATTCTCCTGTTACCAGCTGTTTAATTCTATGAGTTACAGCACAAGCAGAAGCACAGCAATATAACACTTTCAGACAACACCAACAGCCAAAATGTTGAGGCAGGCACAGTTCTGATGTTATGATCAGCTCAGCTGAGCCGGTGCTGAACAGGACACAAACACACAAAAACCCCAAGCCTAGTGTTCCAAATCTGAAGAACATCTGCTGAACTTTTAGTATTCTTTTCTATACCCATGTTACATTCCTTCAGTTATTCCCAAATCAAACCACTTCAATCAATATCATCTTGGGAAACAACTTGGTATAACTACAACCATAGCAGCACAGACCCTTTACAAAAGATACTACTAGATTTGTATAAGGGGTCTCTGAACTGTAGGAGAAATTGTTCATAAGAAAGGAGTAAGCACATTGTGTACAGTCACATACACACAGCTACATACACATCTGTGGTTTCTGTCAGTTCAGCCTGGGCTCACTGTGTTTAGTGGCACCAATCCCTGATCAGTACTGACACTACTATCATTTTCCAAGCCTGGGCCAGGACAAAGACACTTGTAGCAGCACTGTTGTAACGATACCGGTACATTAATATTTATTACAACAAACAGAAGAAACCTCTGGACACCAAGAATCCTCCTGAACATTAACAGCATCTAAGTGCATTAGAAATACAGCCAGCCTCGCAGGGCTCCAAATCCTCTGCAGCTGTGTGATGCAAACAGTAAAATCAGAGAAGCTGCATATTCCTTGAAATGAAATCTGTCAGCCTAGCAATATCAGCAGTTATCAGGCCAGGCTCGAGAACAAATACAAGAAAGAAAACCACCTCGGACACAAACAACAAAAAGCCCTTACAATTATCACTCCAGCACTCAATGGATGTTGGTGGAAAGGGGAAACACCGTAGCTTGCTTGAAACATTTCTACCTGATAATGGATTTCTCCGTTTTCTCTCCTTTATCAGTCTGGACTGGCTCTTCTACAGCCCTGATGGTACTGTGTCGGGTCTTCAGCCTTGTGTCCCTCTGTGGTGCCTTGATCTGAAGATTGGAAGGACCACGACGAACACGAGGTGGGTTTGGCTGCTTCCGGGAGAAGAAAAAAAAATATGTGCTTGGTATGTTATAAAGATGGTAAAATTTCAAACCATAAGTCAACAATATTCACTCAACAACATTAAATAATGCTTCAGATAAATCTTATTTTGCTATCATATCAGCAGGCAAGTTCTGCCTTGAATGGAAAGTATGCTAAAGACCTAATGCACTAATCCACAGTCAGTTGATGTTCCTTCCCGTTGCATCTCCCACAAACATAACCCTTCAAACACTAACATCTGCTCTGCCTGCTGCTATTTCTCAAGCTCTCAGAAAAGCTGTTCCGATTACTGTGACATCAACTCCATTCATGTCTCCAATTCAGCCACGACTCCAGGCTCCTCACATCAGTGAGACTGATGCCTAGAGCACTCCCAAGTCAAAACAAATTAATCACAGCACCAGTGAAGCCTCAAGTAAGAGGTCACTGTGACCTAAAGTCCTGGCACTCCCGGGCAGAGCAATGAATAATAAATAGCATACAGAACATTATATGAAAAAGATAGAGCAAGAAATGCTACACCAAAGCCCTTCCTGAAAGGCCAGCATTCCACCCAGAGTAGACTTTTTTTTGCAAGTTCTAACTCCTTTCTCCACAACAACTGTTGGAACCAAGCACTATTTGCAGCCTTCACAAGTTCTTTGGTAGCTTTATAAAACTCATTTCTTCTCACAGTACCTGCGGCAAAAGCTCAGGGTAGTCTCCATGGTTGGCATCTGCTTTCTGGGGTGCTGGTAGAACAGCTGGATTTGCCAGCTTTACTCCAGGAATTTCTTGTTCTGTTCTCTGATCATCTAATGGCTTGTTTGTTAGACCTAGACACACAAAACTCCTCAGCATAAAGAATCAACACTTCAGGTTGCAGCTAGAAATTTATAACAGTTTGCTGCATTCACATAGTGGATGCAACTCCAAAAAGTGCATTCACAAAACATTGATAAACACACACTAATAGTTAAATACAAATGTATTTTGGTATTAATCCTCTCCCTAATACACAAAAGGGCTGCTAAAAGGCACTTTTTTTTTAATTGCTACTATTTCAGTTTCTCAATACAGGCAGTAAGATAATATCAAAGCTAAATGTGCTTAAGTATTGGATTGGATTTTCTAATCTGATGGGCAGTCAAAACCAAGAGAGGATTATCTTATTCTACTGATTAGGTTTGGGCTACCAATATCTACATACAAACAGAATAAACAGCCACCAAATCTTAATCAACTGTCACGGTTTAGGAATGGTACTCCCGAATTCAGTACCCCCAACCGAGACCCTCCAAAACCACACTGCCGCTCTCTGCTCCCCTGTTTTCTCCTCCCCCTTCCCACTGCATCGGGGATGGAGTTGAGAATTGGAGGTAAAGGAAAGGTTGAGATAAGAACAATTAACTGGAAACAACGAGATAAGAAAATTAACGGTAACAGCAATAATATTAATAACAAAACAGTCCCTTCCCCACCCCCCAATGACACGACTGGTGTAGAGTAACATCCAAGCCTCAGCCACAACCCCTTGTGGCTACTGTAAAAAATTAATGCTGTCCTGGCCGGACCAGGACACACACACAGGTACCTATGTACCCACTCAACTTTTCTTGACCCTATTTATGGCCAAGATTTCCTCACCCTGTCCATTATCCATGCCTATCTCTATACCATCCAACTATAAATATATATAAATGTACAGAAGTACAGGTATAAATTCCATAGTCAAAGATCATCCTTCTGAGATGTCTGTTGAGTTCATTTAGTCCAGGACTCTGGGTTCTATCCGTCCTTATGTCTTCCAGGGCAGGAAGACCTGCTGCCAGTTGGTTCAAGCTGTATCAGGAGCTCACAACTGGTGTATTTAGAGCAGTCTGCCCTCACTATCCATGGTGGTTATGGCACACAGTGGCAACGTCATTCAGCAACCAATATCATACAATTCAACATTACAGACTGTGCTCACTCAAAAATCAAATCCCCTCAAGGGACACATGTTTCCCCGTCCCTCTGCATTACCCACCAAGTGCACCCAGGTCCTCGATCAAAAACACTTCGATGGATGGGTTTGCATTTGCTTGAAGCAGGACTAATCCAAATTATCTTCCCTAACGCATTCTACATATGTGCCACAGGGACTTTATCCCCTTCTACAGTATGTGGAGGTTTTGATTGGATAGGCCCAGCTAGACTGGTAGAGATAGAGGTGTTAACTAGTCAGGTGGCCTTCATTAAATGCAAATCCCAATGTTTGAAGGTCCCACCACCCACTACTTTCAATGTGGTTTTTAACAGTTCATTGTACAATTCATGCACCAGAGGTTGGTGCATGATAGGAAATACGGTACATCCACTCCATTCCATGCTCTCTGGCCCAGGGGTCTATGAGGCTGTTTTTGAAATGAGTTCCATTGTCCGACTCAATTCTCTCTGGGGGCCATGTCACCACAGGAATTGCTTTTCCAGGCCCAGGATGGTGTTCCAGTCAGTGGTGTGAGGCACAGGGTGTGTCTCCAGCCTTCCAGTGGTTGTTTCCACCATTGTCAGCATGTGGCACTTGCCTTGGCGGGTTTGGAGGAGTGTGACATGATCAATTTGCCAGGCCTCTCCATATTTATATTTTGACCATTGCCCCCCATATCACAGAGACTTTATTCACTTGGTCCTGCTTGGTTGCAGTGCATGTTTCACAGTTACAGATAACCTGGGAGATGATGTCCATTGCTAAGTCCACCCTTCGATCACAAGCCCATCTGGATGTTGATTCTCTCCCCTGATGACCTGAGGGGTCATGGGCCCACTGATCCAGAAATAATTCCCCCTTGTGTTACCAGTCCAGATTCACCTAAGACACTTAAATCTTGGCAGCCTGATCCACCTGTCTGTTGTGATGTTCTTCAGTAGCCCGACTCTTGGGTACTTGTGTATCTTACATGATGTGTTTTAACAGCCAACTACTCTACCTGGGCACAGTTGCCCCAATTCAGCAGCCTAGATGGGTTTCCCTCTGTGCTGCCAACTGGTCTTTTTCCACAGGTCCAGGCACCCCCAGAGAATTTGCCACAACCCACGAGTCAGTGTAGAGGTCAAGCACTGACCATTTCTCTTGTTCAGTGATATCTCAAGTCAGCTGGACAGCCTTCAACTCTGCAACCTGACTTGATCCACCTTGTCCCTCAAAAGCTTCTGTGACCCGCCATACAGGACTCCACATGGCAGCTTTCCATTTTCAGTGTGTCCCCTCAATACAGCAGGAACCGTCAGTGAAGAAAGCGTGTCTCCTTTCATTTTCTGGTAGCTGATTACATGGTGGGGCCTCCTCAGCACCTGTCACCTTTTCATCCTCTGATGATGACAGTCTGAAATTTTCACCTTCAGGCCAATTACTGATGACCTCCAAGATCTCTGGGTAATTGGGGTTGCCTATTTGAGCTTGCTGTGTGATCAGAGCAATTAATTTACTCCATGTGGCATCAGTGTCATGATGTGTGTAAGGGACTTTCCCTTTGAACACTCAGCCCAGCACTGGCAGTTGGGGTGCCAGGATGAGCTGTGCTTCAGTGCCAATCACTTCTGAAGTGGATCAAACTCCTTCAGAAGCTGCTAGGATCTCTTTTTCAGTTGGGGTGTAGCAGGCCTCAGATCCTTTGTATCCCCAACTCCAGAACCCTGGGGCTTGTCCTCGAGTCTTCCCAGGTACTTTTTGCCAGAGACTCCAGGAAGAGCCATTCTCCCCAGCTGCAGTGTAAAACACGTTTTTCACATCTTGTCCTGTCCTGACTGACCTCAGGGCTACTACATGAGCAACCTCCTGTTTAATTTGTTCAAAAGGTTGTTGTTGTTCAGGGTGCCACTTGAAATTGTTTTTCTTCCAGGTCAAAAGATAGAGGGTTGACAATCTGACTGTAATCCAGAATATGCATCCTCCAAAAACCCACAACGCCCAGGAAAGCCTGCGTTTCCTTCTTGCTGGTGGCTGAGGACACAGCTGGTATTTCGTTGACCACATCCACTGAAATCTCACAATGCCCATCTTGCCATTTTACCCTTACAAACTTAATTTCCTGGGCAGGTCCCTTGACCTTACTTTGTTTTATGGCAAAACCGGCCTTCAGGAGGATGGATTATCTTCTCCCCTTTCTCAAGAACTTCCTCTGCTGTGTTGCCCCACACAATGATGTCATCAATGTATTGCAAATGTTCTGGAGCCTCACCCTTTTCCAGTGCAGTCTGGATCAGTCCGTGCAAATAGTGAGGTTGTGTTTCCATCCCTGGGGCAGAGACTGAGTGTTTCTGTCCTCTTCCAAATTCCCTGGTCAGTGCCCCCATCCTGGGACAGGGATCCCAGTTGCTTGGTTTCACTGCCATCTAGTTTCATATTGTGGGCCGCAATATCCCAGCACCAGAGTAACCAGGTCACCAGGGGCTCACCTGACTAGCAGCTGAAATCTTTTCACACATCTCACAGGTCACCCGAGGATGGGGATCAGGTGATTATCTCTTCCTCCTGTTCTGAGGGCCCTACTTCCTCTTCATGCCTCACTAAGCAAACTGATTTGGTTTTGGATTTCTTCTCCTGAATAGGGGCGACTGCTACTGGCATGGGTTGTTCCTTTGGCTCAGCTGCAGTCTGAGTGGTCACTGTGGCTGTTGCTCTGCTTTCCTCCTCCTCCCCCTGAGGGTGCTGTCTGATGATGAGAGTGTCTCATAAATAGTAGCCAGGCTCCAACACACTGCAGTAAGTTGCTCCTCTCTGGAGTTGCCACAGCATTCTCCTTTCAAATATTCTGCCACTTTATCAGGGTGCGGTAGCTGTTCAGGGGTGAACTTCCAAACCATTGCAGCAATTTCCCCAAAAGCTGGCCCATTTTCTCCCACATTCCATGCCATTCATGACTAGCCACCCTCGGGGCAGATCTCTGAATGACCTTCCTCTTTGACTCTAAACATGGTGTGGACTGCACTGAGGACACCTGGCAGACTTAGCAACAAGAACATGCTTTCCTTAACATCCAAAGGAATTCAAAAATCTCAAAAGCTGTTGTAACAGGCCAGAAGGAGGAAAAGAGGGTGAAAGGCTGGGGAAAATCATCCTCCCCTGTTCCCCACACAGAATGGGTACAATTATTACTGGACTCCCAAAGGTAGTGCCCAAGGTATATGGTAGGAGAGCAACACTGAACACACATCCCAAATGACCCTCATTGCCCTTAATGTTATCATGTCATAAACTGAAAACCCACACTACAGCAACAAAGCAGTCCTGATCCCTCTCCCTGCTCTGAAAAAGATCCCCACAAGGAGCACATAGAGGAATATATACAGGGTTAGGTACCACAACCATGTGAACAGACCAAGCAACACCGTGACCAGTGGTTCTGTACCTAATATAACAAATGCTTAGATCAAACTTGTTTTCAACCTGCTCTGGGCAGATCTGTTGTTACCTCAGCCCTTTGTGCCTCACACTGGGCGCCAATTAGGGCTGTTATGGTTTAGCAGTGGTATTCCCCAACTCAGTGCCCCCAACAAGGCTCTTCAAATCCACACTGCCGGTCTCAGAGAGTCCCTTCACCACCACCACCACTCCCCCTGTTCCCCCACCCTTCCGCGCCCAGCAATGAAGTGAGGTTGTACAGAATAACATCTGGGCCTTAGCCACGCCCCCTCCCGGCTACTGCAAAAAATTAACCCTGTCCTGGTTGAAACCAGGACATCAACTAAAATAAAACGTTGCTCTAGTCAAGCTAAACAAAGAAAAGAGATATGAAAAATATTTCTGATTACGCATTAAGTCATTGAAACTTCACATAAAATCATCTCACAATTGTGCTTTAATGAATACACCCAGGCACTGTCAATAGAAATTAAAACTGGTTATAAGAAATACAATTTCCTAACTAACACCTCACAGGCAATTCTGAGCTGTACAGAACACATACTTTTCCATGCTTCTCCCATGCTTGCGTAGGAAATGACTCCACAGACTGCCAAGAAGGTAAACAGGAAGAGAATGACACTCCGCTGGAGTCGGGACAGCTGCTTCCATTTCTTTAGGAGAGAAAAGAAGTGAGAGGAAGAACATTTAGCACGACATTAAGAGCCTACTCAGTTAAAAATTAACAGTTAAAAATTAACTCTTACTAGTTCACTCAGATTAAGAAACACAAAACCCATTAGGTTTAATTTTACCCTGTTTCCAAATGCAGATATCCATTGCTTATTTTCTTTGATGACAGAGAAAACAGGAATCTAACCAGCTAGCATGTAGCTCAGCAAGCTCACAGAAATATCAGAGCCACTTGCTGCAAGAACCTCAGAACCTGCTGAATGCCAAGGATCCCACAGAGCTTCAACTACAGCTGACTTTCATCACAACCTGCACTGCCTGACCTGAGATCTCCATCTGTAGATGCTCAGATGTCAACTGGGAAATCAGCCAAAAGCCTCTTTCCTCCTGGCTGGGGAGGTACCGCGCAGTGCATATGCAAAATAAGAACGGAAGCAAGTGGTAGGAAAACTAAAAATGTTACTGCAGCAAAGAAGAAAGGCTCAAAATAAGCTGAGCACCAGTCACTGGACAGGTCACGGGTTCAATCCCCGTACAGGCCATTCACTTCAAGAGTTGGACTCAATGATCCTTGTGGGTCCCTTCCAACTCAGAATATTCTGTGAATCTAGGAAAGAGAAGCCAGGCATCCTGCCTCTGATAAACATGGGAACTGTCACACAGAACAGGTCCCGCACCACAAAGAAAGTCACCAACCTGCAGCAGCATGAAAATGAAGTAAAATATCACAACAACGAACAAGACAAATCCACAATGTTTCCAAGTTTAATCCTGGGCAAAAATGTATTGTTGAAACTGAAGTAGAGGCAACAATCACTAAAAATCAGAGAGCAAATGGTATATTAGCATGAGAGAGGCTTATGTACATTAACCTGCATTTACAGAGAGAACAAGTTGGAGTTAAACATTAACTGCCAAAGTACCATTCTTACTTTTCCAAAAGTCCCACTGACATTCACTAATATTGGTTTTGGCATACAGAGAGCAAACTTAAGTTCCAACGATACACTCAGGAATAATCTTTCCTACCAACCACATGACACCCCACAGCACTTCCCACAGTCCTCATCCTCTTAGCAACAGCCAGTCAGAACTGTCGATGTGCTCACACTGCGAGCCCCATAGCACATAAAGTTTCCTGTTTTCCTCCTGCCCTCTTGGCAGTACAGGAATCCTGCACATCCTTCCCTGCGCACACTGCAAGATGCCAGTCCCACTCTGTCATCTTTTGCTCTACCTGCACGGCAAACCATATCACCATCTCCCTGCTGCAGAAGGATGCTTGAAAACCGGCAGCCTTGTGATTCCTCAAGGCAGGACGGGAAAAGAGGCATTGATTGTGGTGTCTTGGGACAGGCAGGAATGAGGCACAAGAACACATGAGGGTATCTACCACCATCTTACTGTTTTTTTGTTCCCAAAGAATAAGGATAAAGTAAAGGGTGAAATGAAGGACGCACATTTCTCAAGCTGGTAATAAAACAGAACTGTGAGAATGTGTCCCTAAACAAGCTCTTCAAATGCTTCATCTGACAACCTGTAAATCCTCTGTAGGTGACTATTCATCATCTCCAATCTGTAACAAAGGTTATCGTGTCCTTTTGACTCACTCTTTCTCATACAAGACTCTCCGGGCCCAAGACTCCCACTCCCAGTAAAGCTCCCTACCCACAAGCAGACAAGATGGTCACTTCCCCAGAGCTCTGCCAGGGGACCCCTCTCGTCACACTCAGCCTTCCCACAGAAAGCAGAACTGTCCCCTTTACTCTCCCAGGGCAGAAGACAGGGCGCCTCCTTCAAGCCTTAAAACAGGGAACAGAGACACGGAGGCCAAATCTCACCCCACTCATTCGTGTCCACAGAGCGCAGCACTGCCCTCCAAATGCCCACCAGCAGAGCACAGGATTTTACAGTATTCCCCCCCAGCTTTGTTCGTGAAAATTAAGACATGACGTGGAGCTCCCTCCGCCAGGCCGCGCCCCACACCCCCCGACCCGGCGCGGAGCAGCCCCTGACAGCAGAGCCGAGCCCAGGGCCGCCCCGGGGCGCACAGCCACAGCCACGGCCCCGGCCCAGCTCGGAACGGGGCAGGCCAAGGCAGGTCCCCCATGGCAGTGCAGCTGCACCCGAGCGCAGGGACATCCTGATCGCCCGGTCCAACAGCGCTCCCTCATCGCCAGGTGCCCCCCGCACCCAGCCCGGGGTGCCCCCGGTACCGCACAGCTCCCGCGCGGCTCTCACCCGCCAGCAGGAGCGCCGCCGCCAGGCCTTGCTGTTGTTGTAGCCGCCAGCCCCGACCGTCTCCTCCGGGCCGAGACTGACGGAGATGAAGTCCCGGCGCGGTGGCCCCGCAGCGGTGGCGGCGGCGGCAACGGCTCCCGCATACATGGCGGCGCCTCAGGGGCCGCCGGCCGCCATCGCACCGCGGGACGGAGCGGCCGCTTCCGGGAGCCGCTTCCGGTGCCGCTCTGGCGGCGGCGCATCCGCGCTCGATGGCACCGGGGCGGGGCGCGACCGGATGGCACCTCCCGCCCCTCTCACGGGTTTCCCCCTTCGGGCCGGGGCCGCGCGGATTTGGCCCTTGTCTCTCGCTGTCCCCGCCGAGCCGGGCCCTGGTCAGGAGGACGGCAGGTGCCGGGGCAGGCAGTGAGGAAAGGAGAGTCTGGGAACCCTCGCTGTTCCTCGATGGTGAGATTACGCCATAGAGACCGTTCACAGAAACACTGGCATGGGAGCACGAGAAATGAAAACGTGCATGTGGGAGGTTCTGAGGAAAATCAACTCAACACTTGGCCTGCAAGCTCCCATCAGCCGAGCCCGGGAAGGTGCAGCTCCCATGGGGAGGCCCGGGCCCCAGCCCAGCAGCACGGGGCACTGTGGCCCCACACGAGGGGGCACGGACACCGCCGCTCCTCCTGCCAGGGAGCACAGCCAAGGGAAACCCAAACTGCTGCTGACTCCGAGAGGACAGGAAAGAGCTGTCTCATGTCATCATCAGCTGCCACTGAGAACCCGAGACAGTTTTACAGCAGGCCATGCGGGAACACGGGCCTGAGGGGAGACGACTGGAATCTGTGAGAGGATGTATGTGAGTGGGTGAAAAGCAACTTAAGCAGTTGTATAAATAAACCCTTCCATGAGACCTGGCACTGAATTTTTGTACTCAGCAGGATGCACTCATCCCACAGCTGCTCCTCCACAGACCTCCAGCCTGTGCAAATAGTTCCCTGCATCTTCCCTGAGGAGGAGGGGTGTTATCAGTGGGAGTATGGAACAGCATTGTTTAGTGATGTACACGTTCACAGCCAAAGCGTGACCAGGTTTGTAATAACCATTACTTCTATCTCAGGTTCCTAGTCCCAAAAGGAAGAGGGTGGCATTGAAGCAGCTGCTCTAAGTGCTGGTGCTGAATTCACCTCCAGCTGTGCCTAACTGGCAGGTTAGCGTGCATCATTTGCCCCTTTACATTTGGAATCCACCTCACTAGATATCCAGATAAAACTGAGACTTTTGTGTTTTTCTGAGCATTTCATGATTAAGAAAACTAAGCAAGCAAAAATTGTGGTAAATATGAACACCGCATAAACAAGCACGGGAACAATTTAAGATGCCTGAAGCATGCATTCATTTTTAGTATTCATTTTCCTACCACAGGAAACTACTGATTCATGTAGCTTAAAAACACATTAAACCCACCAGCAGCCTTCGCAGGGATGTCAAGAGAGAAACATGGGGGGGGAATAGGTAAGAAAGGAAGATCTGACATTTGCTGGGTTCAGCACTAAACCCCCAAAACAGGACAATATGCCATTTGTGACACTTTACCAACTTCCCCTCCTGACTGTGCTATAAATAGAGCCCTGTTTAAGATGTCTGTCACTGTGCAGCAAAGCAAAATTTGCATTCCAGCAAGTGCTCAGCTGGGAGAGCCTGACTCAGAGCCAGATCACTCAAATTGACTTGAAATAAGACAAACAACCACCACCCACAATTAAACTCCTTTCCGTGAGTAAACTGAGCTGAAAAGCTTGGAAAAAATAAACAGGATTGAAGACAAGAACACAATCTTCTGTTTTCTGATGAAAAATAGATGCCACAGTGTCAAACTGCTTCAGGAATCACCCTCTGCTCAGTCCCACATCCCCCATAATCTGAAGCATGGACACTGCCGCCTCCAGCCGTACCACTGGTGACACTGTCTGTCCTGCAGCTGTGGTGACAACACCCACGACATGTAGGGACAAAGACAACAAGGATATTTTCCTCACAGACAAGAAACACAGACAGACACATAGAAATCACAGTAACATCTTTATTGTAAAAATGCTTAGATGTCCAGAAGTTTCTGGAGTACTACAGGACTTCCCTTTGTTTCGGGTACTTTTTTCATTTTATAATGCATACAAAGACTTTGTTACATATTGGACAGATTTCTTTTTTCAAAAGTTCTCTCAAAATTCTTTCTATGTTCCAGTTTAAAATGTGAAGTGTCATAGGGAAAAAAAAAGCTCAACAGACAAAGCATTCAACATTCTAATACAGCTTTTCCTTGAAAACAACCTTGAAAACTGTATCAGCAGCTCTGTGTACACAGGAAGTGAAGCTTCAAAAGAGAAAGTACTTTATGAAGAGCAAAAGAAATCTTTATAGCACAGTGCAGCGTAAAACAAGCGTGTGCCAGAATTGCTGAGCAATACTCACAAAGATACAACACAACTTGTTCTTGGACATAAAACTTGACTGACAGGAATGGAATGTACCACAGAAACACTGTGCAAAAAGACTACAGAACTGAGTGTCATGACAAATGCTTCCTTTATACTAAATGAGAATTACTGGCTGCACATGCCAGCTGAGGTCATCAGAACTGTCATTAGCTGGCCTGCATGTGTGAAAGGCTCATTACTCAAGTTCATGCAGAAACACTTTATAACCAAAAACTCTGATATTAACATTTAGATGCTTTCTTTGGAAAACTTGAGCCTACTTACAAACTGTATTTATTCTCAAAGCCATTTTTATACTTACCCAACATTCTGAACAGAGCTTCACATCAGGAATTGCAGAAAGCCATGGAAGTTATTTATGCTTAATGAAATATCATCAGCAATTCCTTAGTAGAAGCTGATGCACTAAATAACATTGCAGATGAAACATCTTCCTCACTACCTTCCCTAGCACCAGGTTTAGTGGAAAAGTATAGAGTGCTCCTGAAGCAAAGTCCAGCCACCATCCTCACCAAGGCTGAAATGACTCAGGTTTGCTCAGTGCAGGTTCTGCAGCAGGTGAGCGTGAGCTTCCCAGGACAGTGTCCAAAGGCTGAACAGGAACAATCACTGGTGGATCACGGCCATCCTGGGATCCCTTGGCCAGGACTGAGTTCACATGCTACATATGTTCTGACAATTAACATCCTTCATTAGCTAACGCTTATCTTTGCATGATGTTTAGTAATATATTTAAAAGGAAGGCATCTAAGGAATTATTTCCTAAGTGAAAGAGTGCTGGAAAACCCCCTGGGCAGAAAATGCAGAAGCAAGGGTGGTGTTTTACTGTGTGCCCTGGTGATGCTGAGAGTAAGCCTGTTTTTTGGGGGGGTAAGCATTAAATTCTACCATCGAGATTTGTTCCTTTTACTACTTTCAGGTACCTTGAAAGAGCCCCGTCTGAAGGATATGGTATACATTAAACAGGAAATGGAAAGGAAAACAAATGTTTGTTATAGCTAGGAAGAGCAGAGGGTTGTGAAAAAAATTCTCATTAATTCTCTTTTTTTTTTTTTTTTAATTAAAAAACCCCAGGTCACTACAGCTGTCAGAAGCAATCAGTCCAAGCAAGACACCAGCAAGCCCAGATACAAAACTAGTCTGACTGCTTTGGAGTCCAAACCTCAAGCAGTGCTTAGGCACAGCAACATCCCTACATACAGCAGACTCTGTATGATCTGCTTAGAGGATGCAATTGCTGAATTGGATCTTCTAATCATCACAGGATTAGGGACAAGACGTATCACTGCAGAGAAAGGCCTCAGTACCCACAGTCCTTCCATACTTTTCAGGATGGGGCCTCAAACTGATTGCAGCTGGGCACATAATTTAGAAACAAAACCAAAACAAAAAACCAACCACACCAGCACAAACAAAAAACCTAACAATGCACTGAAGAGATTTAATCTTCTTGGATGCAAAGCTGATTTATTAAGCCCTGGCTGGCTCTTTTCCATATTCATGTGCCCAGCAAATAAGAAATATAAGATATGTTTAACACCTGGAAGGTGTTAATCCTCACTCACATCCAAGTGTACAAAACAGACTGAGGTAAGAGGCCCAGCTTTCAAAGTTACCAAACAGAACTGGGGAGCATGAATATGTGTGTAAACACAACTGCTGCAAGGATTTGGCATCAATCAGACACTGCAAAGCAATTTTTTTTTTTATAATGCACTTCATAGCTGACATTTTAGTAATGTCAGTTCTCATAATGGCTCTGAAAAACAGATATCTGATGAGGGGGAAAGGCTTCCCTCTTCAAGAATTTTCCAGCATTTCCACTTTGGTTTCATCGAGTACAAAGGGAGAAGGGAAGTCTTTGTTCTTCATGTGCACCTCCAGACCCTGAGAACGTGTGAGAACAGTATTGTTAGGCTGTAAATGCATCAGACTGGTCACCTATTTTTAAGTCCTCAAAGAATGACTGAGAAAGGTCATGGGAAGGACAAACAACAGCAACAGTTTCTCCAGTGATGGAAAGGGTTTCAGCCCCAAGCCTGGGGTTCATGAAGGAGTGGCACCAACGAACCCTAAAACAAGATCTCAGAAACTAGCTTCATGGGGAGAGGCAGGCATGGGAAGGTGTTCTTAGCTAAAATTAGAATAATCCTAGCAAAGGGAAGTCAGTTTAAATTGCCTTGTATTCATTTTGTTCTCAGAAGGTAGCAATTGCAACAAGGTTGCTACGTGCACATGTTGAGGAATACACTTGGTGCAGGTCGCTGTTGCAAGTTAATACAGGTGGAAGCCTAGCAAAAGTGTAAAGTTTCACGAACACTCTTCCCCACAGTGATGACATAATCCTCCTGCAGTCCACTGTTTCACTCTGTCTGTCCAACACAGGGAAGATCCTCTTCTCACTACTACAGGTTTCTCAGGATCAATTATTTTCAGAGGGACAAACTTGAGAAATTTTTCCCTAAAGCCAATGCACATATCTCACTTCACAGTCAGTACTCACTCCCTGTGGCAGATGGGCACAAATGAGCACAGAACTCATAGATTTTGTAATTTTAATCTTCTGCGCTTTTCATTCAGAAGATTTCAAAGTGCTTGTGAGTCTTAATGAAACTGCAGCCTCGTTGCAAATCTCATTTTACAGATGGCTAAAACTGAGAGTGAACAAACTGCTGAAGAGTAAACCATAGCGGAACCAGAAATGTGACACAGAGCCAAATTCCCAGTTCCCTTGATCTGACCATTTCTCAACAAGCCCAGGCTAAAGAAGTCACCTGTGTTCAGAAGGAAATCAGATATACCTGCACACTCTTAAAAATAGCTCCACAGATAGTTATTCTCACCTCTCCAAAGTAAGACACTAATGGAGAAATCTCACACACAGCTGGAGGATCTTCAGTTCCTGAGAGACTAGAGAAGAGAACACAGGATTAACTTCCTGCTGTGCTTAAAAAACAGTCTATCTTCGTCAAAAGATTGTCTAGAATAGGATATCCAGAGGGATAAGACATTTGTTGTAGTCACATGCACCAGATACTATTTGAACACAAAGTGTG